TGGTCAAACAGTCGGCTTTCAAACTGAGCACCTCTGTCTGTAGTGATAATTGATGGGACACCAAAGTTGGCTATCCAGTTTTCGACTAAAGCTTTAGCTACCGTTTCAGCTGAGACGTCGATTAATGGAACTGCTACTGGCCAACGAGTAAATCTGTCAATGCAAGTTAGAATATAATTGAAACCATTGGAAGGAGGCAGTGGACCAACTATGTCTACATGTGTCAGCCACGTCTCATAAACCGTTAATGCCCAGCTCTTGCTACGCTCGGGCCCACGCTGTTCCTTGCAGTTTTTCAGAAACGCTTAGTAATGATGGACGAAAAAACCAAAAGACCGATTAGCCACTCGAGAATTCTTTATTGTAACACCAACATATAAAAAATAATGTTTTTACTAGGGTCTGTGAACAAATATTACAATAATAAATCACAAGATTACTTCTGATGGTTGTCTCCTGACTTCTTTCTGAACAGCGACCGATGAGACGATGACTGTCGTATTGATGCCTCCGCGAAAATTGGGGAAGTTGGTTTTGAGCAAACAACCATGAATTGATCGTTCAATCTTCAACTCCATTGACAACATGTATATGGTCAAATCTAGAGTCGGGGTTAGGGAAGCGACCAAGTGGTGCATTGGTGTGACAGTTGATTTTGACTCTTTGACAGGACAAACAATTTCGTGCCCCCTTCTTAACATCGCTGTTAATGATCGGCCATATAGATCTTAGTAGTTTGATGGTAGCGCTCACACCAGGATGCGACAAGTTATGTAACTTCTCGAATACTGTACGTTTCATGGCTGTTGGAACGGAAGGTCGATATTTACCTGGAGAGGTGTCGCAGATTACTTTTGTCGTGCCAGAAGGAATTGCCTCGATGCTTAGAGATGTTGTCTTAGAAGACATGATCTTTTTTATTTCGGCATCATCTCGTTGTAAGTTTGAGAGATGTTCGTAGTCTATGTCTGGGCATACTATATTGTCGATGTGTATACGTGATTAAGCGTCTGCCACTTCATTGCTTTTACCCTTTACATGTCACAGATCGGAGGTGAACTGGGATAGAAACTCGTGGTGTTGTAGTTCGTGCGGGGAGTAATTATACTGTTTTGCTGATAAGGCTTTCGTAAGAGCTTTGTGGTCTGTTGCCCGCAGAGAGGGTTGTAGAAGATCAGGGAACTGATTTACCAAGTCAGTATAGGAGATAATAATAATATATATTTCTTCCTGTTAATGCAGGTACGTACCAATTGTACAGTCATGAATAAGTTATTATAGAAATTACACATAATCTAGTCAGATTTTTTTCAGGGAAATTAATCGATATTAACACGACAAATTTATATATAAAGGGACATCTCTTGTTTTAGAACTTGGTCAAATCATGAGCGATGCAAAAGGTGTAGGTGTACTACACTCTGTACTCATTGCAGTAGACTTGAGTTAACTCACTTTAGATTTATCCTACTGACAGTAATTAGTGTTCGCTGTTGGTCAGGCATCCCTATCACCTCTGTCCGCAATAAGTCAAGGAAGCTGAAGAAACAGTATTATTCCACTAAGCATATATCACTATTGCCCTCAATCCACGAGTCTCTTGAATCTATCAAGCGCCTACGCTCTCAAAAGGACCTCGACGAAGAGTTAACGGCACTTGAAAGTACCTCCAAAGTTTATAACTTAACGGCACTTCTTAAAAAACGAATGCAGTCGGCGAGGGAAATCCCCTACTTACTTCACGACAAAGTAATCTACAATGAACCTGCCACTATCTGTGAACTTTTCAGTGATTGGTTTGCAAACTTTAGTTTAGAAACACATATGCCTGGTGAAACCGCCCCCCTTACTAGCTCTTCCCTTGAAAGCATTGTGTTCACTAATCAACTAATAGTACAAGCAATTAAAAGCCTTAAACCTTCCACTAGTACGGGACCGGATGGCCTCGCTTCGATAATTTTCAAAAACAGTGGGTGTGATATACCCTTGTTACTTCTTAAATTCTTCTCAATATCTATGGACACTGGCACTTACCCTAGTGAGTGGAAAACTAGCTTCATAATTCCACATTACAAATCTGGTGATAGGGCAAACGTCCGCAATTACAGACCCATAAATATAACCCCAGTTATCTCACGAATCATGGAGAAAGTTGTAAAAGATCAATTGTCAGACTACCTAATTAGGGAAGATCTTGTTACAAGGTCTCAACACGGATTTCTCAAAAATAGATCCTGCGTTACTTGCCACTTCGACTTTTTCAACTGCATCACTAGTAGTCGCGAAGCACGTAAGCTAGTCGTTGTTTTCTACTTCGATATATCTAGGGCATTTGACATGGTATCTCACAGTATTCTCTTTGAGAAGCTGTACTCTTGTGGAATTCGCAACCCATTACTGAACTGGTTAAAATCATTTCTAAGCAACAGGGTACAAATAACCAAAGTTGGATCTGTATTGTCTCATCCTAGGCAGATCTCAAGTGGGGTCGTGCAAGGTAGTGTCCTAGGTCCACTTTTATTCACAGTTTACATTAACAGCATTTGCAAGTGCTTCACCTCAGGTAAACCATTCCTATATGCTGACGACCTCAAAGTCGTCTACTCCTGCTACACTCATGAATTAAGCGATATGGTTACTAAAATACATCTTGAACTAAGTAGTCTCGCAATGGTGTGCTGAATCCTGTCTAAACTTTAACATTGACAAATGCGGCTGGATTTGTATCGGCAACAGTAACCTTGATCTAACTCTTGAAATAAATGGGCGAAAACTAGCTAAGCTCAACTCAGTCGTAGATCTCGGTATTAGATACTCTAGTAACCTAACGTTCGCTGAACAGACTGATTATGCCAGACGTAAAGCACGAAGGCTGATAGGATGCATAACACGCAATTTCTTTTGTTGTGAAACTAGGGTTTTATTATACAAAGTATGTGTCCGACCTATCTTAGAATACTGCCCGTTTATTCTTAGCGGACTCAGACAAAATGACAAGCTTAAATTAGAGGGAGTGCAACGGCAGTTTACCTCAAGAACTCTTGGTTTAGAAAGTGGTCTGGAATACCATGAGCGATGCGAAAGACTAAGATTAGAACCCCTCTGGAAAAGACGCCTTAAGCTAAACCTTATCTTTTACTATAAGCTAACTAATCTTCTCTTGCATTCCTCCGAGCCAATAACTAAACCTACCACTGTCATCAGTTACAATCTTAGAAATCATCACAACCTAGCTGCTATAGAGCACTGTCAGACTTACGTGCGGTACAACTTCTTCTTAAATAAGTTTTCAGTCATTTGGAATAGACTACCAGCTAATGTGCGCGATGCAAACACACTTCCAGTGTTCATCTCCTCAGTCACCAGACTGCTCAAAGATGACAATGCACTTTTGCGCCTGACTCTTACACCTTCTTTTTCACCCTACATAGATATTTTAAGTTCTTTAAACGTGTAGTTACAACAAACTACAATTATAAATTTTAATATTATTGGAACTAGATGATAAACATTTCTACACAGGACAGTAATATTAGTTCACACATAATATAAAAGTTAGCATAACGGGACTAGTTAGTTAGTGAACAAAAACAACCATAGTTACTAGACAGAATATATAAGTATATATTTATTAATCACTCCTTAAGGACTCCTCTTGCTTTCTTTTGCGTTGCTGTTGTTTGTCTTCTTTTTTCTCTCACCATTTCAGCTTCCATTTGACTTTTTGAATGAGAATGAATAATGTGGATATTTGACCATTTACAATGACAAATGATCTGCAAACATTATTGGTCCCGTATCTTTCAGTTGCCTAGTTAATAACGAATTAACTTTCCCCACGACGCAACCTGGATTACATTTGTGGAATATACTCTTATACCAATGGAAAAGTATCAATTTGTAATACAACGTCACGATTGTAACTTATAACATAACTGATCGTATCTGTAAAAATAGCTTTCTTATTACCCAATTTGGATATAAATCAAAAATGAGATTCGGAATTACTTCAAGCTTTATTTTTTTCCAAGTATTTGTAATCCATCCAAAACATACTTGGGTTTTTTTTTAATGCGAAGTCAATATTCCTATATTTCATGATGTGCTCCATTGAATGATTGGTTATCATATTGTTCCCACAAATCAAAGACAGAAACGTCAGCAACCATGTAACTTAACTATAAACCAAATTTATGAAATTTAAATAATGCTTATCCATGCCTGTACATTTGATGTGTCCTACACAGGTAGGAAAAAATGTGTATTTTATTAAAACATTATTATTAAGTATGATTGCTAATCGTATATGTAATTTATCATATTGATGATGCCTGTAAACTGGCGTCCCTCATGTACAAAATGAGAATATATTATTATTATTACATCCACCTAGAGTTTTGTCTTCTGTGCCCTTTTGGCCCACTTATCTGTTATCACCTACAGATATTCGAGTTTGTGTATTATCCACGAAACCCAATAATTCGTCTCTTAGTTAAAATGGTGGCGTCAGCGCCCCTAGTTAACTCGTTCAAGAGGTATTCAAGCAAACACAAAAGCTTACTTGAAAAGGATTAACATCAGTGCATAGCCTTCATGTGTTCATCAATAAATTCGAAGCTGCATCCGAATGGCTAAATGCCTGAGTTATCTTTATCCCTTTCGGTAAGTTATGATTCCCAGAAAAGTTGTGACCACTCTGTCAGTCGACGCATTGAAGAGTGATAGGCGTAAGATAAGTTGTGAATAAATGCAGGATAAACTTAAAAACCAGTGCGTAAACGAACGTCTACGGAACTGCAATCCAACGTGACCGACTAACATGGACGAAAATAACTTTTGAGCGTCTCACTCCACCAATGACCTTGTACGTGACAGGCAAATTTCAGCCATAAGACCTTATTCAGTAGGATTATCCAACTCTTGTACTCATCTGTATTCAACGAAAGGTCTGAGTGGGGTTGACACAGAGTAGTGCGTCAATTGAATTCAAGGTCAGTAAGATGCATCTGTTTCGGAAGGCGTGGTCTTCTCAGCGTACATCTCGAACAGTTCTCAGATACCTCTCTACTAACAACGTAATTGACTTATTAAATGTTGAAATTTTTTTAGAATGTATCCGATTTGTCCAAAATCCGTAATATTGGTATATCTGCTCACATTGATAGCGGCAAAACAACACTTTCGGAGAGAATCCTTTTTTATACAAACAGAATAAATGAAATGCATGAAGCAAGTTCTTTGATTTTTGAATTTATCTTTCATCGTTTTTTGCCTCACATAATTTATAAAGACTTTTAGTGAAACATTATGTTAGTACTTTGTGTCATTAGTTTGATACATGTATTTGCTGCTATGCTGGGGTACTTAGTTTCTGTATTTGAATATTTTTCTTGAATATCTTTCAGACTAAGGGGTACTGGGGAATACCTAAGTGCAATGATTCATGGAAAGTGACTGACTGGCTGGCTGGTTTCAATGTAGAACTTAGAGCAGATGTGCAGCAGTCCTAGTTGCCACACCCCATGTAGCACTAAAAGCACGAGAATAAACAGGAATTTGAAGCAAAAAGAATAATAATATGCGAGAACAATGTAATTTTATTGGGTATTGCAAATCATGAGTGATTGCATCTGCGCCATCAGTGAAAACGATTTTGAGATACATCATCAATTGCCTCGAGATTTCATTAGTTTCCATCGAACTGAGGGTCTAAACAGGGAATCTATACGTCCCAGCATGGCTTAAACTAACTGTTGTGGATTTCATTGACTGAGGAAGGAATGTTTTGGTTTGACCACGACTAGCTTTTTCCCAAATTCATTTAGCCTATGTCAGCTGCCATTGCCCGTCGAGGAAGGCGATGGCTAGGTATGTGTGACACATGTCCTAACCATCTCAACCGCTGTAACTTCACAGTCTCGTCCATTGTTTTCCCCTACTTCATTAGTACTCAAAGCCTAACCTCAATACTAATCACGACATTACACCAGCCAAAACACGAGATAGAACACAGGCACCTACAATCAAACACAGCTAGCCAACCTCTTCATGTCTTCCACTACCAATGGCCATGTCTCACTCACACACAAAAACGAGAATGGAGCGAACTACTGAGCATTATACACCTACTTTGGTAGACAGCCAACCGGATATCACGTCTACACCACAAATGGCGTAGGTCAACATATCCCAAACCAGCCTTCTGTGTCCGTGCTGAGATTTCGTCAGCCAGTTGATCGCTCATGGGACTAATTCAACTCCCCGAATAAGTGAAGTGGTCAACACACTACACCACTCAACTCCTCCACTCCCCATCTTTAGGCTAGGAATCAGTGTACTCCAGTCTCGTAGCATCACCTTACATTCCACGGAGGGAGGGAATCACAACCCAAGCATTCGGAGATTGCTGCTCCTCAACGTGTTCAGAAGACGCTGCAGTTTGGCAGCGTCTTCCTCACCTACCAACAAGGACTATATCATCTGCATATTCCAAGTCAACCAGATTATTCTCTCATGGTAACAAGTCAACCCCTGAGTCGCTGAAGTCAGCAGTCAAGCTTCATTAAGTCGATTAGTACATCTATAGTGAAATTAAACAGAAATGGGAATAGTGTTGGACATCCCTGACGGACACCACTAGTTGTCACCACTCCAGATGACAACTCCCCCACTACGATCTCACCTGCCTGACACCATGTGTTCCAGTACAGTGAGTGTCTTCTTCAGTGTGATGTATTTTCTCGACATTCCCTTCACAACCAAACATCGCCACAGTCCTTCTGGGTCGACGGAATCGAATCCCGCTTTCAGGTCAAGAAATATGATGATTGTTGGACGCCGGTAAGTATGACAGCTGTGTTCCAGAATCTGTCGAAGGGTGAAGATATAATCATTACATCCTTTTCTTAGTCTGAAGCCAGCCTGGTTTCCAAGGAGTTGCTCCTCCCAAGCGTCACTTAGTCTACGCGTGATTATTGGGTCTAGAACTTTAGATGTCATATTAGTCAAGCTAGTCCTCCCGTGATTATCACAGAAAGACTTGTCTCCCTTCTTGTATATCAGGATAATCAATCACTTACACCAACCTGACGGGACTACTTCTGATTTCCAGACGCTGGCTAATACCTTAGTTGACGCAGACAGTAAACTGTTCCCAGCGTCCTTAAACATCTCTGGAGTCATTCTATTAGGTCTCACTGCTTCGCTTAGTTACAAACTAGTGACAGCTTTTGTAACCCCACTTAGGGCTGGTGTCTATATGCCGTATAGTGAGGTGTTGGCTGCTGGGTAAGTTGAGCGTGGATTTGGACCAATTAAATTGCTCCTAAAAATGTTCTTTCCAGCATTCCAGTTGTTTATCCTCAAAGCTAGTCGTAGTGCCACTTTTCTCAGAGATTATTTCACTTATCATTTGCCTTTCGCCATCTGTTTCCCTCATGTCTAAATGTTTGTCTGGTGTTGCCAATCGCCGTTGCCTTTTCCATCTCTTTCGCTTTTGTCGCCCACAACTGTTCTTGGTCGCTGCACAGACTTCTTATTTATTTCGCGAGTGAGCAGCTTTCGCTCCTCATCATACTCGGAGCTCGCTGGAATCAGTCTTCTTTCATTAATCAGTTCGGATGAGGTAGTGGAAATCCGATAACTCTTCCTACCTTCTGGCTTCAGGTCATAAACAACTGTGTACCCAGCTAACTGTATACTGTTCCAGACATCCCCAGGAGGAGTCTTGCTATCCATTTCATATACATACATGTTTAGCTATTTCTTGCTGAAGTAGGGAGTCAGTATCTTGATCTAGTTGGAGGCGTAACTGGTTTGATACTATCAGTTTCGACTTCTGTTTAATCGTAACCGTAAATGTGCACGAACCAGCGCGTCATCGGAGTCTACAAACGTATTCCAGAAGGAACGGTGGTCTTCTACTGCCCCTCACCAGCGCTAGCCTATTGCTATGTGGTTCATTTGAGTCCTACGTTGATTTGGTGATGGAGCTCGCCAGATTAGACAATGTCTTTCTTCCTGAAGCTAGTACTGACCAGGAACAGATGATAATCTGAACAGATCCGTAGAAGACGTTCATCGGCTTAAATATGTGCACAAATTGCATTGAAGATATTTTTGGTGGCACATAGCATAACCCAACTCCACTAGATCATTGGTAGTCATATAAAGTGGGCACGAAATTGTACATACGAGTGCACTACTTCGTGATGTGGCGCAAAAGGTATAAAGTTAAAAATTATTTCTGGATAAATGAAACAGAATGCAAATTGAATAAATATTGCTCATCCGCACTTTAATAAGTAAGCGTTGATGTTTTTCCTGAAGGCAGTGCCCCATTAATTATTTGAGTTTATATTTCTCCCAGGTATATTTGGTGTTGTATTGTTATTTTCACAATCTAGGTTAAAGGAAAAGATGGAGTCGGAGCCGTAATGGATTCAATGGAACTGGAAAGACTTCGCGGTATTACGATCCAGTCAGCATCAACATTTACTACTTGGAAAGACTGTACCATAAATCTCATTGATACGCCTGGCCATGTTGATTTTACTGTGGAAGTTGAAAGAGCACTTCGAGTACTCGATGGTGCAGTCCTCGTATTGTGTGCTGTTGGTGGAGTCCAATGTCAAACCCTCACAGTAACCAGGCAGATGGAACGTTATAAAATACCACGGCTTGCATTTATAAATAAACTCGACCGACAGGGAGCAGATCATGTTCGTGTTCTGAAACAAATAAGGTAATCAAATGTAATTTTATGGGTCCCCATGGTCTCACTTCTTACGTCGTCTCTTTTTGTTTCGTTTTTGACATTTTCACGTTGCCTTATCTTCATTTCGGTAGTATGCCTTAAATAAAACTAAAAAAACTTATACGTTATTTTCTAAGAGGTATTTATGTCACTGGTATGGAGATAAAATTTCAGCTTAGTATTATTATTAATAATAAGAAAATCTAATGTTATCGTGAAAACTTAGGATCGGTGTTGATCACCTTTACTAGAAGTGGCCTGAAAATTCCGTTAGCTGAAACCACGTCTCAACTAGAGGAAAGTTTACCTCGTCAAACTACCAAAGGAGGGCTACTTAAGACTCTGCAAGAACTGGCGAGGAATCATGCTCCTGTCGACACCAAGTAAAATTCTGAGTCGCATCATACTGGAGAGAATAAAGGACGCACTGGATGCAGAACTCCAACCAGAACGAGCTGGATTCACGAAAGGCGATTCTTGTTCTGACCAAATTGCAACTCTACGTAGCATCATCATCACCGAACAAAGCATGGAATGGCAATCAAACCTCTACCTCAACTTTATAGACTTTGAGAAGGCCTTCGACAGCGTAGCGTTGACCGCGAAGTAATTTGGAAACTACTCGAGTACTACGGCGTACCCCAAATATTCATCAACCTTATTCAACAGCTGTACGACAACGGAACATGTCAAGTGATCCACAACGGAAAACTCAGCGAGGCGTTTGGAGTAAACACAGCAGTCACACAATGATATTCCTGATTGTGGTGGACTGACTGGATTATGCGTCAGACAGTGGGAAACGAGAAGACAGGGATATCCTAAACCGACACGAAGAACCTAGGAGACCTGGATTTCGTGCGTGGATGATTTATGTTTGATGTCACACAATCGAAGACTTACAAGCGAACAAAAACCGACAAACTGGTCGAAGAAGCAGCCAGCGAAGACAGGACTCCTGGTAAACATAGACAAGACGGAGGTGATGAAAATAACCAACCAACAACAGCAACAACATCCAACGTCAGTCACCATCAACGGGAGGGATTTGAAAGAGGTTACTTCATTCACTTATCTAGGGAACATTGTCTCAACTACAGACAGTCAGAACGGATGAGGATGTCAAATCGAGCGAGAACCGGGAAGGCCAGCGAGAAACACATTCATTAACCTGAAATCAATCTGGAAATCTTCGTCACTCAGCATCACCAACAAAATTCGGATTTTCAATACAAACGTCAAGTCAGTCAGTTCTTCTATACGGATCAGAAACTTGGCGGGTCACAAAGAATATTTCCAACAGCCTGTTGCAGACCTTTATTAACAACTGTCTTCGCTGGCTCAATACTGAAGATCAAATGGCCGGAAAGAATCACCAACAAGGAATTAAGGGAACAAACAAAGCAAGAACCAATCGCCAACCAACAAATATGCAGGAGAAAGTGGAGATGGATCAGACACTCGCTGAGGAGACCGCTGAGTGACATCGCGCGTCAGGCCATTGCTCGAGTGGAACCAGGCCGAAAGGGAAGCGGCGAGTGGGGCGTCAGTGCAAGGGTGACATGGAGGAGATCGTGTGAAGAGGAGTTGAAAGAGTATGGACTAACATGGATGCAGGTGAAAAGTACAGCAGAAGGAAGATAGAAGCAAGTGGAGACCTGCAGTTGAAGCCCTATGTTCTACTAGAAACCTAAGGAAACAATAATAATAATAATTAGGCAAGTGTATTCGATTACATGTAATTAAAGTATTAATAACTGGGTGGTATCGAGCGCCATTTAATACTCATGATCATATCAGTATATTCACACTTCCTAAATTTATATTTAATTTATAATAATAAATTTATAATTTTCTTTTGTTTTCTAGTATATTTTTACATATATCCAGGACATATGTCGCATCATTCGATACTGTGATTATGTGCAAATGCATGTAGAGTAATAATTGGGCTTTTCTGGTTTTTATTTAACATAGCAGGTCGTGTATTTCCTCAGATAATTGCTCGATAAGGCATCACACGAACTTTTATGGTCACGATAATCAGGGATATCCCCTGTCTGCCACCATTACACAGCCGTTGTATAATTTCCCTAGATGCTACTTAATTAAGGACACACTAATAATTGTAGTTAATGTTATATTCACACAAGAGAAAAAAGTATAATTATAAGAAAATGTCAATTAGTACAAAATAATTGGCTGACTGGCTTTCAACGTAGAACTTTGCGCGAAATTTCAGCAGTTCAAGTTGCCTCACTACATGAACCGCACAAAAGTAGAGAAGAGAAAAAAGAACTATTGTGTATGGAAAGGTGAGAGAGAAGATTAACAATATGGAGAAACATGAGGCTACACTGGATTTAGATTACAAAAAGCCCATGCATCTGCGCCATTGAGAACAATTTGAACCTTATCACTAATAGTCTCTAGCCATTGGTTCTTAGAGTTCTGAAGACCCTAACGAGGCAACCTGCACTTCCCTAAATTTTTGGCTCAAACCTCATAGACCGTTGTCAGGTTTTGTCCTGATCACCCGTTAAGCTTTTCTGGCCTAATCTAGTGTCAGCTAATACCGCTGTTCCAGGAAGGAAGGAAGGTGATGGTTTGGCGTGCGTAACTCGTGTCTTAGCCACCTCAACTAATATAGGTTCGCAGCTCGATCGATTGAAAGTAACTGATAATAATGGCTGAGAGTAGTAAGCGTTATTTTGAAGAAATAAAATCAACTGATGAACCAGCTATCAATCCCATTGTCACCTCCCTCTTTCAGAAGAGATATTATCTGGGTCAACTTGGAGGCATTAGACTTCGTTACTATTCATAAATTTTTTTTAAAATACTGAGGTTGTATTATTTGTGATATATATATATATATATTTTTAATTTTTTTTAGATCTAAGCTCAATTTTAACTCAGCCTTTATTAATATTCCTATGAGTAAAGAAACTAACAGTACAGGAATAATTGATCTGATTGGTGAGACAGCTGTTTACTTTGAGGAGCCATTCGGGTACATTAAGTTGTATAATGAATTTTTTGTTTTCTAATTTTTATTATTATTGACTCCTTTTTACGTCATTGTCTCTGTCTGTCTGTTTTCGACATGGAACTTTGCACAAATGTGCGGAAGTTCAAGTCGCCACACTCCGTGTAGCACACAAAGCAAGAGAAGAAAGTAGAAGAAATGCATAATAGAGACAGTAAACAGAGGTGTGAGACAAAGGAGTAATAACGAAGGAGAAAACAGTTTCATTGGAGATCATAAGTCACAAGGAGTGGATGCATCTGCGCTAGCCACTGAGAACGATTTTGAGCCATATCACCAATTGTTTCCAATCATTGGTTTTTACCAATGTCATTGTATTTTGCTCAGCCTAGGAGAATTGTGACTGAAGTTCTTTCTGCCTTTGCCATAGAGGCAATATCACATGATCCCGTTAAATGGGGCTATTTATCCTTTCTACTGAAATCTGTTTTTTGATGTCTTCGTTGATTTTTTGTGCATTAGTTCTCATCATCCGACTGCATTCTAGGGTGTTTCTTTAGTAGCTTTCAAAGGCAAACACATGTAAATTAACACGCATTACCTGCCCTCAGCCCTGTTTTGTCTCATGCATAAAACAAATCTACAGAAGGTGGTAAGACTGAGCATTCCGTTGGAAATTATGTCTGAATACAAGAAATGAGAGTGTGGTCAGAGGAATCGAATGTTATCTTTGAATTTCTGATCTATATATCTGGTGGTGAGTGATAGATAATGCGAAATTGATAAGTACACTGAGATTTATAATACAATTGTTTAATACAGAAGGATAAATAAAAATGACTCAGATGTTGTTTCTGACTGAAACATAAAATGACAGTAGATACAGATCAGCAGTTGAATTTATGAAAATAAATTATAAATGGAAGTTAATTGGTGGTGGATGGTGACTAGCAGTGGAATCCAGGATGCACATTCCGTCCTATTTTGGGGACTCGTCATCTAGATGTGCCTGCATTCCTCAGTGAGTGATGTTCCCACCGAGTTATAAATGACTTAAATGTATAAATTTCTTCTCTCAATTTCGGAATGATTTCATTTTTTCATTACCGTTCAACCATCTGAATTTTGTTAGTATAAGGTTAAAAGTTCGATAATTTAGTGAAGTATCAGTTAAATAATATTAGCTTGTCCTGCTTTTGTGTATTTTCTACACAAACCTCTAGACTGAAATACATATTTGTCTGTTTGCCTGATTGGTATATTGGAACATAAGTTTGTACTCATATTCATGCACTTACCGCAGTTACTGAAAAGACTTGAAATTTGAATTATGTCAGACTAATTGTGGAATTATAAGTACAACTCAATTATGAGGTCATAGCTTTTTCAGGTGTCGAGCTTTAGTCATTTGAAGACTTATTATGGTAAATAGTTAGCGCCAGACTGGAAATCGTTGAGGAGGGTGTGAATTCTAGAGCAGATGGTTTCAATTATCCAAGTAGTGTATTCTATTAGATTTCTGAAGCATGTGAGTGAGTAATGCATTCTTATTGATTTATTAAACAAATGAAGTAGCATAATGCGATTTTATTCCATTTATCCCACTACTTGACTGTTAAAAAATTAGCGAAATATACCCATTAATTCATAAGGAAAAACAGCTTTTTTTGTTCAGCGAAGAAATATCTCTTTTCAACTGCTTCATTTCGAAGCTGTAGAGTCGTAACTACATTACGGAAAAAAGCATTAAGTGGCATTAGAAATTGCTCAGTCAATATGCACATGATAAGAATTAGGATAATTAAAATGATGCACCAAGGGTGGGCGGGGGTAGAGTTGAAGTGGATGGATTACAAAACTTTTAGAGTCTATCAAATAAGTGAACTGGTGTAAAGGTTTTAAAATTGTAGGTCGAGTGTTGTCTAAAAATTTACAGTGTGATGATGGTAACAGTATAAAGACAGCAAAGATGAAGTGAAGTGGAATGAATTCAATTGGTACAATAAAAATAAAATAAAGGAACATAACTATGGCCAAGGTAAAGAAAGGGACATTTGTAAAAAAAAATGTATTTGTAAAATCTCAGCGAAATTGAAATGATTGATTCGTTTCGTTCGGCAATCTGTTCCGAACTTCTTCAGGGAAATTAATCGAAATTAACATAACAGAGGTTTATATATAAAAGGACATCTCGATTAATTTCTCTGAAGAAATTCGGACCAGATCGTCGAACGAAACGTTGGAATTAATCATTTCAATTTCGCTGAGATTTTACAAGTATAATTTTTTACAAATGTCTACTTCTCTCTCGGCGCCCAATTATTTTGGAACTGTTCGGTCAAATCTTGATCACAGTTCATATGAAAAGTCAGTATTGATCATAATCATATCAGTTATAACCATACGACCTCAACACTTGAGGTTGTTTGTTCTCTTCTATTGTCCTAAGGTTAGTGTAATTTTCCAGATATCCGGGTGGACGGGTGTTGAATCACTTCTATTATACGTGTTTGCAGTTGATTCGATAAATAAGTTATATTATTATTGTTATTATTCACTTCTTAGTTGTCAATATCATTTTGCGAGATATCATACATTCTCTTAGTATTACTTTTCTTTTTTAATGTCTAATAGTTTAACTGTAAGACAAGATGCTATTCCATCATCGATGTTAGCTGAAACTAAAGAACGCCGAGCTGAATTTATTGGTAAGATTTATTTTGCTTAGTTTTCTGTTGAGAAGTACATGATTTCTTTTTACACCGGATTTTCTCGCCGTAGTAAAAATGTTAACGCTCAGCTGATGAAGATGGATTGATTGATTTTGAGGGCATCATTTCTGTTCAGAATATAAAACAGTAAATTACTAGTCTTAGATTTAAATCAGGTTTTTGTTAGAACTCAGTGCTAAACAGGTTGCTTGTGTACAACAAAACTATAAACCATATGTATAATGTGCAGACTACCCAGTCGCTTAGACTGAAATAACTAGAATCATATTCGAGACTGGGATCTATTGACTGAAAGTCAGTCGAGTGCCGAGGCCAATAATGCATATCCCTGCATTTTGAAACTTTACACCAGTGCACATAATCAGTAACATCCTATAATCAACAAGTAAATTTTATCTACCTCAGTATATGTTGGTGTTCCGACTGAAAGTGGGGTTGCAAAGGCTGTCTCAAATTCGAAATGAGACAATGCAGAGCGAGACCTGATAGAATGACTCCAGAGATGTTTAAGGACGCTGGGAACAGTTTACTGTCTGCGTCAACTAAGGTATTAGCCAGCGTCTGGAAATCAGAAGAAGTCCCGTCAGGTTGGTGTAAGTGATTGATTATCCTGATATACAAGAAGGGAGACAAGTCTTTCTGTGATAATCACGGGGGGACTAGCTTGACTAATATGACATCTAAAGTTCTAGGCCCAATAATCACGCGTAGACTAAGTGATGCTTGGGAGGAGCAACTCCTTGGAAACCAGGCTGGCTTCAGACTAAGAAAAGGATGTAATGATTATATCTTCACCCTTCGACAGATTCTGGAACACAGCTGTCATAATTACCGGCGTTCAACAATCGTCATATTTCTTGACCTGAAAGCGGGATTCGATTCCGTCGACCCAGAAGGACTGTGGCGATGTTTGGTTGTGAAGGGGATGTCGAGAAAATACATCACACTGAAGAAGACACTAACTCTACTGGAACACATGGTGTCAGGCAGGTGAGATCGTAGTGGGGGAGTTGTCATCTGGAGTGGTGACAACTAGTGGTGTCCGTCAGGGATGTCCAACACTATTCCCATTTCTGTTTAATTTCACTATACATGTACTAATCGACTTAATGGAGCTTGACTGCTAACTTCAGCGACTCAGGGGTTGACTTGTTACCATGAGGGAATAATCTGGTTGACTAGGAATATGCAGATGATATAGTCCTTGTTGGTAGGTGAGGAAGACGCTGCCAAACTTCAGCGTCTTCTGAACGCGTTGAGGAGCAGCAATCTCCGAATGTTTGGGTTGTGATTCCCTCCCTCCGTGGAATGTAAGGTGGTGCTACGAGACTGGACTACACTGATTCCTAGCCTAAAGATGGGGAGTGGAGGAGTTGAGTGGTGTAGTGTGTTGACCACTTCGCTTATTCGGGGAGTTGAATCAGTCCCATGAGCGATCAACTGGCTGACGAAATCTCAGCACGGACACAGAAGGCTGGTTTGGGATATGCTGACCTACGCCATTTGTGGTGTAGACGTGATATCCGGTTGGCTTTCTACCAAAGTAGGTGTATGATGGTCAGTAGTTCGCTCCATCCTCATTTTTGTGTGTGAGTGAGACGTGACCATTGGTAGTGGAAGACATGAAAAGGTTGGCTAGCTGAGTGTTGATTGTAGGTTCCTGCGTTCTATCTCCCGTGTTGAGTGGTATAACGAGGTAGGCAATATTGAAGTCAGGTGTGGAGTGAAAGGCAAAGCGGCCAAGTTAATCAGCGAGGCAGTGAATTTCCTTCGATTGTGACTGCTGAGACACGTGCTGTGTTCACCCAGCACGATCAATGATAAGTAATTAGTTATAGGATTTCATCATGAGCTGACATTGGTTAGAGAAGCATTGGAAAACCTGGGAGTACTGGACAGCTGTTTCGTCCTACTTTGGGATTCTTAAACAGTACGCACCCAGCGGGGTTCGAACGCAGGACCTCTGGTTACAAGGCGAGCTCGTATAACGTTAAGCCACTGGGACCCGATCCAATGGCCCATGAATTCTAACTTCTGCTAATTCAGGACATAGCGCAACCGCTAGCCAATGTCCTCGGCGAGTATTTGTCCTCACACCCGACCTGCTGCACCCTACTGGTCACGACTTCCCACTGTAACCAGAAGGTCCTGGGTTCGAACCCTGCTGGGTGCGTACTGTTTAAGAGTGGCAAAGTAGGACGAAACAACTGTCCAGTACTCCCAGGTTTTCCAATGGTTCTCTAACCAGTGCCAGCTCATGATGGAATCCTATAACCAATCAACCAAATCCCTATAAACCAATACTTGGATAAGTAATTAGGTTGTAGGTAGTTAAAAAACTGGTCATCTGTCCTTGATATATTTGCTTATTGGTGTAAGTCACATGAGTAGGTGTAGAGGCTTGCTTGTTGGGATCGTCGGAGATGTTAAAAACCGATTGGTTGTATGACATAAAAAAATAAAGACGAAGTGAATAAATAAATCCTGCTTGTATCAGAGTTATGATGAATCTGTTGTAGCTAATGTAAAACGATATTTTCGTAAGTGTGAATAAAGCTTTAGTTTAGTTATCAGTGCTGAGCATAATTAATCAACATGTTCGAGACAATCAACTTGATATTTTGTTGCTTGAATGGAAACATCGTTACCTGTCATTTTTTGCTAGTACATATAAAGAACTAAAGATCACAAGCCAACAGCCATCTAGTTCGAATACTATGCAACGCAAATTTCAATGAATATTATGACTGACAGTTGTGCCGTTCCTCGTTGGCTAGTAGTCATATTATTTATTTCCACTTTAGTCAGCAATAAAAGTTGCTTAGCAGCTAGCAGTTGGTGTTCACTGCACATATTCACTCAGTCGTAATCAGGTGTAAAGTGGTACTATTCCTCCTGGTATGCGACGATATTTTTTGAAATTAGTTTGCAGTTGGTTATAAAAAGGCTGTTAGTGATTCGATTAAGATAGTTTCCGGAAGTAATTAAACATCAAGAGAGAGAGAGAGAGAGAGAGAGAGAGAGAGAGAGAGAGAGAGGGAGAGAGAGAGAGTGATATGTATCCACATATATATTTATGTGTGTGTGTGTATGTTGGTCTCTCTTTCTGTTTGCTCGCTTAGTCTGTGACCATTTCACTTGTATGAACCTGTCTCCTTTAACAATGTATATTCTCCTTATATTATATTATATATAATATGAGTGTTTGTTGACGGTCCGTTGCTTGGTGTCATGTATCCATATATGGTGGTTGTTGACATGTATGCTATATTTTGCTATGTATATATGGATCGATACTTCATTATAATTAGCCATTCATGTTAAGACTGTCTAGTGATTTGTTCACACCTTTTGTCTGGACATTCATATATATTTCGCTCACACAATCTTGTGTGTCCACTTACTTTGGTGTGATACCACTTATTGCTTCTCCTTGTGTTTGGAAAATAGAAGTATCATCGCAAACCTAGTGGTCTTCTGATTTCCGCCTTCTTGCGTCAGGACTATTAAATTCTCGACCAGTACATAACAATAATTTAGCGACGAGTACATAACAGTTTGGCGACGGGGAAAACTACTATTAACCACTCAGCAGCAGCAACATAACAGAGAGAGAGAACCTGGTTAAGCAGTTTTCTCCTGCTTGAGAGTTATTGTGTTCGGAGCATATATGTATTGTTCTGCCTGTTTTACAATTTAAGTATGCTGCAGTAAGGAGACCATCTGCTGAAATGTTTGAAGATTACTTCTTTCGTCTTAAGTGCTGTGATATTCTGCTTCATTAATTCTGTATAATATTGAGGAGACGAAATTCACTACTTAGTACTTTAAAATAGGTAGTAAGTACCTAGTCCTTTGTTCGACGCAGACTGAATTCTGTCAGTCAGTTTTTCACTATGACCAGCATCAAGCTTGGTGCCTTTCCCTCTTTCACAGTTCACCCTGAATTGTCATTAGTAGTAGTTTGAGGTTTGCTTTTAATGGTTTTTATTTGTACCTTCATTACTTTAGAATGTTTGGCCAATGCCGATGATGAAATAGGCGAAGCATTTTTATCAGAAAAACCAATTGATCAAGCAACCTTAAAAGCTGCTGTACACAGAGCTACACTGTCGCATCGATTCGTTCCTGTTTTAGTTGGATCAGCCTTACGCAACCGTGGTGTGCAACTGTTACTTGATGCTATTGTGGATTATTTGCCTAACCCAGGTGAAGTAACCTACCATGCTTTGAATGAAACTTCTGGGTAAGTATCCTTTGGAAGGGAGAGGTAAATATGATTTCTGGTAGAGGTATCCACACGGTGTGAGTGAGACGTGGCCATTGATAGTGGAAGACATGAAGAGGTTGACTAGCTGTGTTTGATTGTAGGGGGCCTGCGTTCTATCTCGTGTTTTGGCTGGTGTAATGTCGTGATTAGTATTGAGGTTAGGCTTCGAGTACTAATGAAGGAGGGGAAAACAATGTACGAGACTGTGAAGTTACAGCGGTTGAGATGGTTAGGACATGTGTCACACATGCCTAGCCACCACCTTCCTCGACGGGCAATGGCAGCTGACATAGGCTAAATGAATTTGGGAAAAAGCTAGTCGTGGTCAAACCAAAACATGCCTTCCTCAGTCAATGAAATCCATAACACTTAGTTTCAGGCAGTGACGAAGCGAAGAGTCAACTTCCTGGCTGTTCTGTTTCCTCTGGATGTTAAAAAGCAGTGTTTGAAGGCAGTTGTTTGTATGATTGAAAGTCGTTCTCACTGTTGCAGATGCTTTTGATTAATCCGATAAAAGTGTATTGTTGTTCCATATGACTATTTTTTTTATTCCTGATGTTTCTGTTTATTATCTGTCCCTTGAACATCCCTCTACCCTCTTGTCTTGCAACTGGGAACTGGGACTGCTGCACCTCTGTGCAAAGTTCTTTGTTGAAACAAGGCAGTGAGTCATACAGAAGACTTATTCTGCTTTTACCAGGCAAAGACTGTTTCGGTGTTGACAAGACTTTCGAAACATCTATGTAAGTTTCTGCAATTTATTTTTAACAGACATCTTATGAGTACCGTGTATAGAGAAGCGGTAAAGAGAACCAGACAAACTCCTTGACTAAGATATTGGCGTTATGAATGAGTGGGTATTTCTTGAAATGCTTTGAAAGGGAAGATTAACTGTCTATGAAGTCATCTGTCCCGATAACGATGGAATGTTGTTTATCAAATACAAAGCTTAGAGAAGCCTTATCGTCATCCTTGGCTAAAATATCCTTATAACAACTGTAAAGGATGAAATGTACATTCTGATGATTTCTATTTTCGAAAAGTTTGTAGTCTACAATTTTCACCATTTTAAAAAAAATGAGCCTATGAAGTCTTCTGAATGCGTTTTTCTTTTCTACTACAGTGAGCCTCAAAAGGTTCTTCTTAAACCACAACGAACTGATGAAAATCCATTTTTGGGACTTGCTTTCAAACTAGAAGTTAGTAATGTTTTTTTAAACTATATACACGCATTTTTTAAAATAATACGTGCCCACATTTGTGTATGTGTGAATTACAGCTTTTTTCAATTTTGCTGCTTTTTTGGTCGATTCATTAACTAATCGGCTGCCCTAGCTCATCATAAGGATACTGAAAATAAGTAAAACTGTAACTGCATCATTCAGACACTCGAGCGGTTATTCAAGAACATTGAATTCTTCTCTAATGTAAAAGTTAGTCTGTAAGAACTTATATATATAGCTGATAGTCAGTGGTGTCTGTTAAAGATGCCAAGGTCCCCATTTTTGCTTAATTTCACCATACACATACTAATGGATGTAATCCTAAGTGACTTTAGCAAGGTAGGGGATGCCTTGCTGCCGTTTATTTAGAGTATGCAGATGATAACGTCCTTCTGGGTGTCGACGATGATAAAATATTGAGTTTTCCAAATATCTTGAGCAGAACTATAAGAATTTTTGGTATACGGTGTGTCGCTTTCAAGTGCAAGATGATGCGGAGTGACTGGTCTGCACCAACACCCAGCTTAAAGATAGGGACTGGAATAATTTGGCGTGTCAACCACTTCACTTAATAGAGGAGTTGCATCAGCCTCAACGAACTGATTACTGAAGGTGTCTGAACACAAGATGCAAAACATCTGTTTTGAATATGTCAACTTGTGTCATATCTGGCGTAGAGACGTGATATCCGTCTATCGACCAAGGACGTGCGCAGCAGTTTGTTATGTTCTGCTTTATTGCTGTGGGATATGGTCATTGAAAGTGAAGGACTTGAAGTAGTTACCTGTCTTTAACTACAGATGCTTGCGTGCTGTATTCGTGTTAATTGGTATCATACTGTGAGTAATATTGAAGTTAGATGTAGAGTATTAGGTAGGGAGAGTGAGTCAATCGAGTTGGCTAGGTCACGTGTTGCGCATGGCGAGATACCGCCCTCGTCGATGAGAAATCTTAGGTGTATCGGATTAGTTTGGAAAGAAGGTAGGGGTTGGCGAACCAAAACCTGTTATCACTCCATGAAGTCTTTGTTTGTTTGTTTGAGTCAGAGATGTAGGTAGATGTAGTCTGTGGTCAGGAAGGCTTCGTGTGCTCCTGAAAATAGATGTAGACTATCTGAGTGGGTTCCAACCAATGGCTGGAGGCAATTGTTGATATGGCTCAGAATCGTTCTTAATGGTGCAGATGCATTCACTCTCTCTCTCTCTCTCTCTCTCTCTCTCTCTCTGTGATCCTTCATATCCACTGAACTGTCGTGTTATTCCATGTTATTATTCTTCTCCCTCAATTTTGCTTATTAGAATCCTATTGTATCTGTTTTTCTCTTTTATTTACCCTTGTATTTCACATAGATTGTGGCAACTTGCACTATTGAACTTCTGTGCAAATTTTTGTTTTGAAGTTCAGTGTGTCAATGTATATTCATTGTTATCTATATAGTTTTGTGATTTTTTATTTACAATGGCTTACAGTTATGTATCAGCATGAGGAATTAGCATGCAGCGTTTATGTTAATATTTCGAAAGATTACTATAAATACTATGAACTTCTTAATTTATTTGTGTCATCATTAGTGAGTGGGCCTAGTGACTCGTCTTTCACCTGGCACTTCCGGGTTTGAATCCCGTTACTCCTAATTCACTCCGAACAACTGGGTAGTACGATCGACCGTCAGATAATAAGTGTGGCTGTTAACTTTACATGGATTACGGAGTTCTAAACAAGGAACTCACAATATACACTTCATTCTTATTTACTTCCTTAAGGTTAAATTAATTGGCCGGTGGTCATTCCACCTGTTTATTTCAATCTCGGTTATATGCGTTTAATGCACGAATAACAAATAAACACATATACAAATTGACAGTAATTATCATTTTGAACAAAGAGTTGTTGTAAAGGTGGCATTTTGATAAACAATACACATGATTACAAATCAACATTGTGGCTGATGGTTGGGTTTGAAACGTGGGTTGGAAATCTGCTACACCTTGCGTAGTTCGAGTCAGGTAGTTTCATCAATAAGGTGTTTGTTCATGTCTATATTCAATTTGCGATAGCATGCAGGCTACCCAAATTGCACTTACTCAGTTGGCCATCAGTGTCTGTAAGTATGGTATGTGCTTTGCGCCGTCTAAGTGCAAAGTACTGTTACAAGATTGGCAGGAGCCTGTACCTGCACTCACTCTTGCGGGTGAACCGTTTGAAGTTGTTGATAAGTTTGTGTACCTGGGTAGTTGTGTGAGTGCTGGCGGAGGGGTGACGGATGAGATTTCCAACCGTATAATGAAGGCTAGGGTGGCATACATCAACTTGAGCCACCTCTGGCGCCGTCGCGACGGTAGCCTGGCTGTCAAAGGTCGGGTATACAATGCTTCGGTGCGGCCTGCGCTGCTCTACGCCTGTGAAACCTGGCCTCTCTGAGTAAGCTGAGGGTGTGTGGCGACTCTGCGTGTTCGATCATCGCTGTCTCCGCGGGATTGCTTGCGTTCGGTGGCATCATCGCGTAAGTAATTCTGAGGTTCGGCGGCGTGTGTTTGAACACAGTGGAGATCACCATTCATTGAGTGTCGTCATCTGGAAACACTGGCTCCCGTAACTTGGACATGTGGTGCGAATGTCACCCCAGAGGCTTCCATACAGGTCTGTGTTCGCTAGCCCTGGGACGGGATGGAAAAGGCGGAGAGGTGGTCAGTCCATGACGGGGTCGTGGGACGAAGGATTTTTGTGCTAGATTAGCATCGGTTGGTGTGTCACGACTCCCTGGTTGGGGTCCGAGAGATAGCTCAAATCGATGGCTCGAAACGTTATCGGATATGGCCAAGAATCGCAGTCATCAATGGCGAACGTGTTGCAATTTCCTTCTTTCTTCCCTCCCCGATGATAGTTAACGAATACTGTTTGAACTTGTTAAGCATGACTGTCTTCATTCAAGATGAAGTTCTTTATCCGTTCTCTACTTATATATATATTTTCTTTTCCTTCCTTCCTTTTTTTTGATCTATGTTGTTTTATTATTATTGTGTGGCGCATCCTTCTTGGTGCCATATTGTACCAATTTTTTATGCGTTTAAATAAATAAATAATAAATATAATTTGTGACTTGTGGTAGTATGTAGACTTTTTGTTGTACTAGACAGTGGTATAACATATTCTTGCTTGATTACACATCTCATTCAACAGTTGTACGGCAATGCTGAATGCCAAGTCATCCACAACGGGAAACTTACGGAAGCCATCGAAGTGAGGACGGGAGTGAGGCAAGCTGGCTGTCTACTATCGCCAATGATCTTCCTGATTGCAGTTGATGGGGTAATGCGACAGACAGCGGGCAACGAGGAAACAGGCATAAAATGGACTCACACAAAAATGAACTTGGAGGATCTGGACTTCGCCGATGATATATGTCTGATTTCCCACAAACTGGAAGATATGCAAGTGAAAAGCAACAAGCTGGCAGAAGATAAGACTTCAAGTGAACATAGATAAAACAGAGGTGATGAAGATTCCTGGCCAACATCAACAGCAACAACAACAACAACAGACAACAATCAGCCAGCATAAATGGGAGGAACCTGAAAGAAACAGCCTCCTTCACCTACCTGGGAAGCATCGTTTCAACTACAGGCGGACGAGCCCGCACCGACGCACACCTGATATCTATGGTCGGCCTGCAAAACTTGGGCTACCGGTATCCATGCTGAAAATTCCATACTTGTACCGAAAATACAGTGTGGAATCAAGCTGTAAATCAAAAAAAAATATATATATCAAAGCCAGGATTGGGAAAGCAAGACAAGCTTTCATTACTCTCAAGTTTGTGTGGAGATCAACAGCACTCAGCTTCAACAATAAGACCCGGATTTTCAACTCCAATGTGAAGTCAGTGCTACTTTACGGATCAAAGAGCACTTCAAACAAACTACAGACGTTCATCAACAGTTGTCTTCTCTCAATACTCAAGACCAGATGGCCGGAAAAGATCAGCAACAGGGATCTCTGTCAATGATCGAACCAACACAGCAGGAACCGATTGTGAAACAAATAGGCAGGAAGAAATGGAGATGGATTGGCCATACTCTGAGGAAACCATCAAGTTACATCACTAGACAGGCAATCGCTCGAGTGGAATCAGGTTGTAAGGGAAGCGGCGAGTTGGTCGTCAGTTCGAGGGTGACATGGAGGTGGTCATGTGAAGAGGAGATGAAAGCATGTGAGCAGACTTGGAGCCAAGTGAAAACTCTAGCAGAGAACCAAACGCAATGGAGACGCTCGGCTGAAGCCCTATATCCCTCTAGGAATTAATGGCAATAATAATAATAATAAAATTACAACTGTATTCTAATCAATATATTTCTATTTTGAAAAGTCTTCCATGAGTTTTAGAGAAAAACTAAACAACTTACACGCGAGCTGTCATCTGAACTGGTGACGATTAGTGGTGTCCGTCAAGGATGCCCATTATCTCCTTTTCTATTCAACTTCATCATAGATGTGTTAATGGACTTAACCCTAAGTGACTTCAGCGACTCAGGGATTGACTTGTTACCAGGGAATAATCTCGTTGACTTGGAATATGCAGACGATATAGTCCTTCTAGGCGAAGACGCTGACAAAATGCAGAGTCTTCTAAACACCTTGAGCTGCAATCTACGAATGTTTGGCATGCGATTCGCTCCCGCCAAATGCAAGATGATGTTACAGGACTGACTGGACTACATCGACTCCTAGTTTAAAAATAGGAAGTGAAGTGGTAGAGCACGTTGACCGCTTCACTTATTTGGGAAGTACCATCAGCCAGTGCCAACGGGTTGATCTCTGACGAAATCTCAGCACGGATACAGGGGGCTCGTTTCGCATTTGCCAGTTTACGCCGTCTCTGGCGTAGACGTGATATCCGGCTGTCGACCAAAGGGCGTGTGTACTGCTCATCAGTCCGCTTCGTCCTCCTTTATGGTTGTGAGACCTGGCCACTGAGAGTGGAAGACATGAAAGGACTAGCTAGTTGTCTTTGATCATAGGTGCCTGCGTTCTATTTCCTGTGTAAAGTGGCATAATAAGGTGAGCAATATTGAGGTGAGGCGTCGAGTTCTAGGTAAACAGGGGAAATCAATCGACGAAGTCGTGAAGTTGCAAAGACTGAGATGGTTAGGACATGTGTTACGTATGCCAAGTCATCGCCTCCCTCAACGAGCAATGTTAGCGGATATAGGGTCCGGCTGGAAAAAAGCTAGCGGCGGTCAAACAAAAACTTGGCACCAGTCAATGAAATCTACAACAGTTAGTCTAAGCCAGTCACGTAGGAAGGTGTAGACTTCCAGGTTGGGTTCCTCGGGACGGTAAAAATCTATGGTTGGAAACAATTGGTGACATGGCTCAAAATCGTTCTCAATGGCTAGCGAAGATGCATCCACTCCCTGTGACTTATGATCTCCAATGAAACTGTTTTGTTCTTCGTTATTACTCTTCCTTTGTCTCACCCCTCTGCTCACTGTTTCTATTATGCATTTTTTGTACTTTCTTCTCTTGCTCTGTGTGCTACATGAAGGGAGTGTGGCGACTTGAACTGGCGCACATTTGTGCAAAGTTCTATGTCGAAAACAGACAGACACTTACACGTACAGACTTTACAGAAAATGTTATTGGCGCAGAAATAAACTAGTCAGCATGCTCGTGATAAATTCTCTCAATCGTGTTTATAAGTCAAGCAAATACCTTCTGGTTTCTGTGATGAATCTGACTGATTGATTGATTGACTATTCTTTTCTCCTGGTGATTGGTTGTTTCCTCCAGTCTACTTTGCCCGAATCAGTTGTATTATTCCACTTTGTTTAGTCAATTAGTTTAATATGCTTCAGCTTCTTACAGTACATAATCATGTGAAAGCTTTTAGATCACACCAAGAATAAATTATAATACCATCGAGTATTTTGCCGTCAGTAAACACAATCTGCACCACCCACACTGTTGACGGTGAAATAAAGAAAGTAGAAAACTTGTTATCTAAGAACGGATATCCAGAAAAATTTGTTCAAGTCTCCATGATGAGAAAAAATAAAGAGAAATGCTTGCAAACTGTGCAGAAGAAACGTTAAAAGGAGACAGCCTTTGGATTACTGGAATCAAAACTTCGAAAAATAATAGCTAAAACATGTTTTGCCGCAACACTTTGTCTAAAAGCCACCACTCGTTGCATAATTTCAATGCAGGTGAAGGATAAACTACTGAATCTGGCCATCTCAAAGTACATTTACAAGTTTAGCTTCTCTTGTAGAGACAACTGCATAGGTGAAACAACTCGGTAAGTCGATCGTCGTGGTGTTAGGTTAAGGAGTCGAAAAGTCAATCAGGGGTTCCATATTGACACACCATTTCGATACAGACCACAAGATTGATAAAAATTCGGCATTTACAATTCTGTACAAGGTGCCGCCTCAATTCTCTAAGCTTTTGTATGCTTGTACGATTGTTAAGCGAAGCCGAGACAGTTGTGAATTCAAAAAGTTTGTTGAGTCCTGCTCCTTCCCATCGCCTTTAACCCCTACTTAGAATAGTTATCCTGGTGTGGTGAGAACAGGTTGCTAGCCAATTGGTAGACATTAATTTACGTCAATGTCTATGTGGCTAATATTGGCCGTGAGAAAATATGAACAAGACTGATTCAATAACCAATCAGAGCAGACTTGACGTGGGCAAATACGATTCGCAGATATATGGCTTCACTTTCTGAGATACTAGTCATGAGCAGTACAGAATAACCTTGAGCAAGAAACAACCAATCAGAAGACTGTGTTTGTCTGCTTGAATAAGCTATAATAATGTACATGAAACATATATAAATACATAATGATTTCCTTAATAAACGATCTGTTGTCTGGCCCTTGTCTTCTGTTGTTACGCTGGTTTTTATTGTTATTCTATTGATTCTATTGACCTACATTGTCTCAAATATCCATGATTAATATTTTCTTATGTAATAGTAAAGAGAAAAGTTAGCGAAAATACGTATTTGCTTGTTTAAATTGTGTTCTAAAATATAACTTAATTGATTTTTTGGAGTTTAGTATTACCTGTATACGTATGTGTAGCTGGAACGCATACCAAATGCTTTTCTAGTCTTGTTGCTCATTCCTTTCTCATCACATTGTTTTTAGGCAAGCAAATATGGTCAATTAACGTATATGCGAATCTATCAAGGTTGTCTACGTCGTGGTGATGTGGTGAAAAATTCTCGTACTGGTCGTCGTATAAAAATAGCTCGCCTTGGGCGATTAAATGTTACTGACTTAGAAGACTTGGAAGCTGTTTATGCTGGAGATATTGCTGCACTTTTGGTGTTGAATGCTCATCTGGTGATACACTCGTTGATGTAAATATGAAAGAACCATTAGCCATGGTAAGTTATTGATTGTATATATATAGCGAAGGGATTAATTTTTTCAGGTGTGGTCCCTATATCCAACCTTACACCTTCTCAGTTAGTAAAGTAAACGAAGTATTAATGTTAACTCATGGCTTCAATATAGTCCAGAGACTTATCACGCCACCGAAGACATTTTTTTAACCAACAGTCGCAAACTTTCATCAACATGTGCCTCGTGCGAAACTGAGTCTTTATTGTTTGAACGCAGAAAGCCGATCTCTGCGTTCTACTGCATGAGGTGGCAAGACTTATTTGGAGCATTTCGTGATTATACATACAATCACGAAATGCTCCAAAGACAGGAAAAAGGCAATTATTCTAGAACAGTTTTTTTGTTTCTTTTAAACGATAATAACCTCAAAAACTCAAAATCACCTCAAGAGTGCCGTTAGGCAGCTGTGTAGTCCAATCCAGATACAAAACGAGCACTTAGAATGAAGCAGAATATTCCAAAAACTCATTCCAAAAGAATTACACACCAGCATTCGTTGTTGACAGTCCATGGTCAGAAATGACCTTGATTCACTCGGGCAAAATCATAACGTTCAACGCATTATGAATGACTGTGCACAACCACAAAGAGAAGCATTAAAATTGGACAAACAATGAGTATTAAATCGGTATGTGATATACAAACGTTAAAATAATGATATACAGTCTAGGAGAAAAACGGATAATAATTATCAAGTTAGCTGCAATGTCCAAATAAGTACAAATATTGTGATTAGATCATCCAGAAGGGATTCTACAAACAATTTTTCCGTTACACTACCTTCGGTTGACGCGGAAGATCAGACGGCCGGAAGGGATAGGCAACAAGGAATTATCGCAGCGAATTAGCCAACAAGAAATACACAGAAGTAGATAGACTAGACAAACGCAGAGAAGCACTTCAAGCGACTTCACATTCCAGCTCCTCGAGTGAAACCTTAGTGAGAAGCAGTGGATTGTGTGTCTGAGGGTAACATGGAGATGATTATACTTGGGGGTGGGGTGGGGGGGTTGAAAGCTTATCGGCAGTCGTGGAGCTAGTTGAAAATTATGATGACGATGATGAATCCAGTCGAATGCGTATGCACCGCTGAAGCTCAGTGTTCTGCTCGGAACACAACAAGTGAATAGAAAAAGCCAGGAGACACTATCAGAGTGAGTTTCAATTCTATGTAAGACTTAATCATTCTAACTGATAAAAAAAATCAATGGTATTATTTTAAAATTAATTTTTTAGAATTTGCTGACTTCAGGAAGCACTTAATTTACATGTCACCTTCAATTCTTTTTTTTTTCTAGTTCAGAAAAAATACGGGATTTGTCTAAAATACGGTACTATGTTAAACACGAAATATAAAATATAGTTTATAAACCTCAGTTGTGAGGTGACTGGCTGAATGCTGTCAGTGTATGTCAATAAGTAAAAACAACAAAGCTGTGTCAAAGGAGATCCACGTGCTAGTCAAACAGCATGCGGATACCAAACACAGGATTAAGGGGTACGGCTAAACAATTTTCAACAGTAAAGGGTGCACGAATAAGGCAAAAGGAGCAAATAGTGTTCGATTATAAGAAAATAATTATTTTACATCTAATGGATTATGAATACATCTAGTGAGATGAACTTCAATAGTAAATAAAGACATGGTTAAGAATTAACCAATACAACTTGTACTACTTACCAGATATAAGTAGTATAAATTTGACACAAGGAATTAAATGGAAGAATTAGGAAAGGAATTAACACTTACATAGCATTGTTTATGCTTAAATCTTTTTTTCTTTCTTTTAGGAATCGATGTTCATTCCAGAACCTGTGGTATCTATGTCTATTAAGCCGACAAACAAATCAACTGTTGAATCGTTTAGTAAAGGTTTAGCCCGATTTACACGTGAAGATCCAACCTTTGTTCTTTCACAGGATCCAGAAACTGGTGAATCATTGGTATCCGGTATGGGTGAATTACACCTAGAAATCTATGCTCAACGTTTAGCTCGAGAGTACAATTCACCATGTGTATTAGGTAAACCTCGTGTGGCGTTCAGAGAAACGCTATCCGAACCATTTGAGTAAGTTCTTTTTCAAAATGACATCATAATATTACCAGGAGTATTCTTGGAACAATATTTCCCCAAGGTCTTCAGATGCTAAGACTACTATACTTATAAGAAAGTGGAAAGTTAATGGAGCTGGAGTGTTTGTTGCCGAAATAATGGGATGCCTATTTGAGTCCTTAGTAATGATTCTGTTTTCACACTCCTAGTCTTATGTAGATATTTTACAATATGGAGATGACTGCCTCCAATCTTATCGTTTGACCAATGTTTCCATTGCTCTTGGACTTTGAGGCAAGAAACTTAAGCTCATCATTAGCCTGCTTCACCGTAAACTTAATCTCACGATGAACTTTATTGAAACTGTTAGACACTGAAGATGTCTGGTTTATATCATTGGAACCGATGAAAATCTCAACATATCTGTGATAGCAAGTTGTTTATCGAATTACTAAGTCCAAGTGTGTCCGTTCATCACGATAATTCATAAAGATATTATGGTTCGTTCTGTTCTTTGGAAATAAGCATTCAGTTTTTTTAGCCGGTCTGACATCAAGAATGCGCGAACCCAAGTTCAATGCTATCTATATTACTGATCGATAATAGAAGTGAGAAGCCCGTATATCTAATTAAAAGTATCAACAAGCATTTGGATACTTTTGTTGAATTAATGCCAAGTAAATAGTTGATATGTTAGTTTCGCATATGCCAGTTTACGCCGTCTCTGGCAGAAACGTGATATCCGGCTATCTATTATGGGTAAAATTTTTGTTTGGACTTTTCGAATCCCAGTGGGTGCGTACTGCCGATGATTCCCAAACTAGGGTGAAACAGCAGCTGTCCAGTACTCCCTGGATTTCAATGGTTCTCTAACTGATATCAATCCGTGATCAACTCATAAAAACATAACAAACCCTTACAAACCAAATTATATAATTATTTCCCTGGGTTCTGAGTGGAACATAGTGTTTCAACAACCCATCTCCACTTGGTTCTGTTTGGTCCTGTCCTCTTCAACTGGGTCCACGATTGACCATAATCTCTCATCTCCTCCTCCTCAAACGATCTCCTCCATGTCACGCTTGCTGTGACGACTCACTCGTTGCTTCCCCTCGAGGGCCTGGCGCGCGACATCATTCAACAGCCACCTCAACATATGACCGATCCATCTTCATTTACTCCTACCTATTTGTTGAGCTATAAACCCTCGGTTGGTTTGTTGCCAGTCACAGTTTCTTGCTGCCAATTCTTTTTAATCGACCGGCTGTTTGAACTGCAGTATGGAGCAAAGACAGCTGATGACAAAATTCTCCAACCTGTTGGAAATCCTTTTTGTGACACGCATGTCAAGTTTGTGACCCGTATAGAAGGACTAAATTGACATTTGTGTTGAAAATCCGAATCTTATTCCTTATCCTGTGTTCAGAAGATTTCCAAACTGGTTTCAGGTTGCAGTAGAGAAGGTCAGGCATAATACAAGAATTAAAAAAAATGGTAACAGTAGAGACGAAATGATACCAGGTCGTCTTAACCTCCTTACGTAGAACGTCAAACGAAATATTTTTGTGGAAACCAACATGGTGTGGGAAGACCAGCAAAGATCAAAGGAAATACACAGTCAAATGTATTTAACATTCGATTCCGTTTCAACGTCTGCGTTGTCTATGCTTGTGGAACAGTTTGAAGTAATCAGTTCATGTGAGTCGCACTTGCGACTGAAAGTGGAATTAACCACATGACATCTGGAGGGATTCAATTCAATACCACTTGACCAGTACCACTGAGTAATTTCTGATAAAAAACATATTCATTTTGAAACAGTCCGATTGAGAAGTAATCGGCGTAGAAACAGTCAGATTATCTGCATACTTAACAAAATTGGTTCCATCAAAATGGGGCAAGTCATGTGAAAGGAAAGAAAGCTGGAGAAGAGAAAGAACAGGTCTTTGAGGAACACCAGCTAGAGTAAGTAAGGCAGTGGTGGACTCTCCATTGTAAACAGTGTGTATTGCTTCCTGTCAGAAAAATGGGAATGCAGCCACCTATTAGTCGAGCACTGTGCTTGTCTCGCAGCAAGCTTGTTGAACAAAAGAGACCTAGATACTTATTCAAAGGTGGGTGTGTAACCTAGGAAGGCACATGGAACATGTTTGGAACCTCTATCTAAATTAGAGATATGAGACGACAGTGGCATTTAAAATACACCTACTATTTTTATAAGCAAACTGATTAAATGAAGGTTCAAGGTTAATTGAAAGCAGTCTCTCCATTATTTTTCAAAAAAGTGAAGTAATGGCAATAGTTCTTCTTAACTTAACACTTGGTCCACTTGATAATTCAGGTACAGGAACGATTTTAGTGTCCTTCCAAGAAGCAGGAAGACGATTCATTGAAAATACTACATGTGTTGGTTAAAAGTATTTCTTCTATAACTATCTACTTATGAAAGTCATTTACTTCAGCTCATAAATCTAATCAACAATCTGCAATGTACACAGTTTGAAGGACGAAATTTTCACCACATTTTCCTTTGATACCAAATTGTTCGTGTCTCAGCATTTGTTGAAGCATTTCATCATGAGCTGACATCAGTTCGAGAGCCGTTAGAGAACCCGGGAGTACTGGACATCTTAATCAGTACGCACCCGCCGGGGTTCAAGCCGGGGACCCTTTGGTTAAAAGGCGAACTCTTAGCCCACTAAAGCACTGGGACTCAGTGTAGGGGCTCATAAATTCTAACTTCTGTCAATTCATGATAAAGCGCAACTACTTCGCAATGTCTTCTTCGATGAGTCACTGCCTCACCTTCAACCTGCTGTACCCCTTCTGGTCACCTCTTCCCACTTGAACCTCAGGTATTCGATTTGCTTGATACAGTGAATAATGATCAAGGAAGCGAGCATATTTGTATAAAACTATGCACTAGTGATTGTTTGAGATGAGTAAGTGCACACCATTCGCATCGACAAGTAGTGCGTACTCGCCAGCCGAAGTAGGCTGGCTAGAAATCTGGTGCTGTCAACTGATTCGCCTGTTCAAGCTGAGTCAAACTGAGTACACCATCAAGGAGCTTTGCAAGTAAACAAGTAAAATGGCCGTCCAGTTTTTAGACCACCCTGTTCTGACTAGCAGGCACTGTTTGTTGATACGAGTGGTATACGGCCATTAATCTTAGCCAGTCAGTCAGTAGTACATAGTTTTATGCGAATAGTTTACCTCAGCTAGTTGGAATTGTTAAACCCCTTTAGAATCTCAACATGCACCTTTTGCTGTATAAAGTAGGTTGTACAGGTTACTAAACTATAAATCTCTTTTCATGTATAAGTTATTCATTTTTAATGGTTTCGGTTGGAGTTAATGCCTTCTCGTATATGATTCATAATCTTGGCTTTCGCATATTTACGTAAAGGGTTAGGCTGACTGTGCCTTTGTCTTGGAGATAGATATCTTGGTGTTTACTGTGAAACAGTTCACAATTGAATTACAGTGAATCATGAAACATCTTCATTTGGGAATGCTTATCAATTAACTATCTGATAAATTAGTTAAGGTTTTGTAGAATGAGATGTAGATTTTTTGACTGGATTTCCTGCCTAATTGATGTTAAGAGTTAGGGATTGATGATCTTCAGTAATGCAGCTGAAAGTTTATCACCATAGGGAAAATCCTATTCATCACTCATCTCTATTGAAATTGTAAGAATTTCCTTCCATCTCCTCTCATGATCTCATTTTCCATGTTAACATTCTTCTTCTTCTGCTTCTGCTTCTTCTGTTCACTCGGCCTTTTATTCTCTTTCAAAATGTGGTCACTTAAATTTATGCTTTTCTATGCAAGTTGTTATATGACTCTGCTCATCTCTCAGAATTCTAGATGCAATTCTAAATAAAAGTCTTGCGTTCGGTTACAAAACGTTTATGGTAACAGTAAGGAATAGATACCACAGTCGAATGAACTTGAAGCGGCCGATCATATGCTTTTAGGCGAAAAGTCGCCCATATAGTATAAAATGTATGTTCACTGCATGTATGTATACAAAAAAAAGGAATTATGTGGGGTATATGTCTCCAGTATAATTACAAAAAGAGGTCTCAGTTTTCTGTAGAAGTGGTTATAGCAAATAAACCATTCTAATCAGTATTTTCGATATGCCTGAGACCCTTGTGAACAGAATCTTTTTGAGTAGCAGTTATAGGATACTTACTTACTTTACTTCGGCTATCTCCTACGGGAGGATGAACCGGCTTCATGAATATCTCGAATGTTTGTAAGAGAGTTGATGAAATTTCATGGGAATTGGGTACGAGTGATGTCCCCAGCATCGCTCGGCCTTTTGTTTGAGAGTGCAGCTCTAGCCTTTACACAACCAAGTGTGACCTACAAGGCAGTAGGAGTGGAGTAGGAAGTCCACTATCCATTGGCAGCCGGTGACCGGAGTCCGGTTCATACGCCTTTTTGAATGGGGCCAGACATTCAGGGCATCCAATAAGCCCTTTGTCCATACGTCTGCCTACCGGTGAGCTTCATACTCCAGTCGTTGGAGGTTTGGAATCAGGGTTTAGCCATCTCCCCTAGACTGTCATCCAATGGACAGTCAGCCCGGTGAAGAGCGCCGGGCATCCGCTTTTGCCTTCTCACTTCGGTGAAATGAACACCTCCGCCACGTGAAGGCAGTGAGTAGGACAGTTATAGGATCCACTAATTCTGATGAATGATTGACTGTATGGTGAATGGAATCTAACAAGGATGGTGACATCGCCTCAGCACTTCAAGTGGATTTTGCCCACAATCTTCGTCTATCAGTTTCACCCTAACCTTAATTAACCATCGCTCAACCTTAGTCCTACCCTAACCCACAATCAGGGTAGGACTTGCAACGAAGATTACAAAAAGCATTTAATTGTAATGGTGAGGGGTTTGATTGGTTGATTCAAGGTCACTTGACTGTGTTGTCCCTTCTTTACTCTTGCCAAGTCTACACTGTGATATCCGGCCACTTGAGTGCACAGCTCGCAAATTTTTACTCCTAACTAAGATGAGCACTAAGCAATTTTGTTGAGGTCCATTCCTTTAGACACTTGACTCTCAACCACTGAGTCACGGGTTTGAGTCGCACTCCGTCTACCAAGATTCAGATAGTCAGGTTGTAATGTTACTAGTCCTCACACAATGCGTCTGGCTGATATTGTAACTATAGTGAAATAACTCTTTTTTCAAATAAGCACTAAGTGTGTGATTCTCATTGCATTGCTTATTTAATGTTTTTGTGTTTTGTCTGTTAGATTTGATTATCTTCATAAACGTCAATCTGGTGGAGCTGGTCAATATGGTCGAGTAATCGGTATCCTGGAGCCTTTACCACCTGACTCTTATACAAAATTGTTATTTTCTGATGAGACAGTTGGTACACATGTCCCAAAAAATTATGTCCCTGCCATTGAAACTGGTTTTCGTAATGCATGTAATTCAGGACAGTTGGCTGGACAAAAAGTTACCGGAGTAAAATTTCGTCTACAAGATGGTGACCATCATATGGTGGATAGTAGTGACTGGTCTTTTCAACAGGCTGCCGAAGGTGCTATGAAACAAGGTGAATTCCATTGTGAAAAGCATTTTTTTTTGTATTGTCTAAGAGAATCTTGATTGTGGATATGTTCATGTTTTAGACATCACTCTGTCTTGTGTTTGAGAGTGTATTTATATATATAGTTTTCGACGTTTCCATTTCTTTTGTACATTTCCATCCATCTGTAAATCCATCTACATTTCTGAATCGTTCGAAGTTAAAAGTCACAGGTCTCCAATTCTCAACCCAGTGGGCGGGGAGGGGTTAATAATCTGGTCGTCGTATACTTCTTCAGAATGGCAAACTTGGACCAGATAGTTAGTTGTCTAGCACACTTTGGCTTTCTTCAATGATCCTCTCACACCTGATGAACAGTGTGTCTGGATTGACTCAGCAGGCTGCTGAGCGTTGGAGATTGACATAAGTAGTCCCGAATCACTCATATCAGTATTGTTTCACACTGTGGTCGCTTTCTTGGTACAATGTAGATATGCATACACATATTTTCTGCTCTATCGTATGTTTTGTTTGTTGTTATTTGTGTTATTCGAACTTAAGTAGGGAGAATGAAAGCATAAATTTCCGAGTCACTGTTATTATTATGATTATTATTCTTAATCTTATATTTCTGATTATTAATAAATCTCTAATCTTATGAAAGGATAAATAAGGTTAGAGAAATTGACTTAGAATATGCAGACGATATAGTCCTACTAGGCGAAGACGCTGACGAAATGCAGAGTCTTCTAAACACCTTGAGCCGCAATCTACGAATGTTTGGCATGTGATTCGCTCCCGCCAAATGCAAGATGATGTTACAGGACTGACTGGACTACATCGACGCCTAGTTGAAAAATAGGAAGTGAAGTGGTAGAGCACGTTGACCGCTTCACTTATTTGGGAAGTACCATCAGTCAGTGCCAACGGGTTGATCTCTGACGAAATCTCAGCACGGATACAGGGGGCTCGTCTCGAATTTGCCAGTTTACGCCGTCTCTGGCGTAGACGTGATATCCGGCTGGCTGTCGACCAAAGGGCGGGTGTACTGCTCATCAGTCCGCTCCGTCCTCCTTTATGGTTGTGAGACCTGGCCACTGAGAGTGGAAGACATGAAAAGACTAGCTAGTTGTCTTTGATCATAGGTGCCTGCGTTCTATCTCCCGTGTAAAGTGGCATAATAAGGTGAGCAACATGGAGGTTAGGCGTAGAGTTCTAGGTAAACAGGGAAAATTAATCGACGAAGTCGTGAAGCTACAAAGACTGAGATGGTTAGGACATGTGTTACGTATGCCTAGTCATCGCCTTCCTCGACGAGCAGTGTTAGCGGATATAGGGTCAGGCTGGAAAAAAGCTAGCGGAGGTCAAACAAAAACTTGGCACCAGTCAATGAAATCCACAACAGTTGGTCTAAGCCAGTCACGTAGGAAGGTGTAGACTTCCAGGTTGGGGTCCTCGGGACGGTAAAAATCTATGGTTGGAAACAATTGGTGACATGGCTCAAAATCGTTCTCAATGCTTAATGCAGATGCATCCACTCCTTGTGACTTATGATCTCCAATGAAACTGTTTTGTTCTTCATTAATACTCCTCCTTTGTCTCACCCCTCTGCTTACTGTTTCTATTATGCATTTTTTGTACTTTCTTCTCTTGCTCTGTGTGCTACAAGAAGGGAGTGTGGCGACTTGAACTTCCGCACATATGTGGAAAGTTCTATGTCGAAAACAGACAGACAGACTGACAGACACTCTTTCTTCAGTTATATTATTTACTAGCTGTACAAACGCGTATAATATGTGTGTCTATATTAAATAATCTGAGCAACAAAATGAATATTTCCGAAAATTTGTCATTGGAATTGTAATTTTTTTCCGATAATAATAAATTACGTCATATGAAAACCGCTAGTCGATTGGAAGGTGAAATGAAATTAATGAAATAAATTGGGTGACGCAATATAACTCTGACGAGATTGAGTAGAGCTTGATCGAAATTAGGACAGAGTCAAGTTGCGAACAATAATAATAATAATAAGGAATAGAAATGTAATAATGGGGGGGGGTCGGTGGATGTGTGTGGAGGAACAATACAGTTAAACACCTAAACGTAACGAACACATCCTGCGTTAGTTTGGATTACGTTCATTGTAGTGACTGATCAGACCTCTGCATGCAGTTTCAGTTTTCGCCCGATTGAAGTGATTTTTATCTCTGACATTTACCGTATGCTTGCGATTGTGTAGATGTTGAGAATTATTCTGTTGAAAAGAGTAACTCCTTGATGATGAACGCCATTTTTACTAAATGGTAGTCTGATCGATTGACACTTGTAGTGTGACTGGAGTTCATGGGATTCTTCTCCATACTCTATACCTCATGGATGGTATATAAGAGCTTCAGACTCTGAAGTCTCAGTGACGGTGGTGTTATTTTTATACAGAGCACAACTGTTAACCTAACACCGGGTCGTCATTCTTTTTCCGGCTTACCATCGGTGAAGCGAGATTTAGGAGAGGCGTCAGCCAGGAATCGGATGACGATGTCTTGCGTGATTGATGAGCCTCCTACCATCAGACCACTGACGCATCAAATCATGGGATGATAGATATCAATGGTTGGATTTCTCTGATACTATGTTAAATAACCACTCACAATGTTCCTGAGTTCTGTCTCCGTTTAAATAACCATATTATAGCACACTTATCATTTATCATTTCTATCTTATTTTTATTTATCTTTGTTTTATTTTACTTTTGACGCCTCTATTCCCTTATCTCCCTTCCCATTAATGACCTCATAAATTGACAGTCCTAGATTCGATTCCTTTGTTAGGTTATAAGTATGTATTATTGAGTCCTCTTGCATAGTAACGAAACAACAAGGCAGTGTTTCTTTAAAAGACTCTAATTGTTGGCGAAATCATCTAGAGATGTTATTATAAATACTTATCCCTTGTTTGGTTTTTATCATTTTCTCCTAGCCATGGATGAAGGAAAATGGTTAATATTAGAACCAATTATGTATGTTGAAGCAACTGCACCAACGGAGTTTCAAGGCGCTTTAATTACTATTGTAACACGACGTAATGGTCTTATCGTCAGTACTGAAACCAATGAATGTGACGCTATCATTCAGGCTGAGGTAGGTCTGACTGGCAGTGGTTTGCATTGCTTTGCAACGTACATATTGTTTCATTTTCTCGTAAGAAGATAGCTGTCGTTATTGAGTGTACACCTATAGCTTAGTGTTTCTGTCCCTGCGGAGATGTGGTGTTGACACTTGTCGTTCGAGATCCTGAAAGTTTGCAGAGGCCCCTAAGTCATAATGGTCAAAGTGTACTAGTTTCGTTATTATTATTATTATCATTATTTCATCGGGTCCCGAGCGAAACATAAGGCTTCAGCAGCAAATCTTCTTTGTGGATCACTTGTCATGTAGCTGTTGAATGGGATTTATAAGGATTTGAGGCACGCCGGAGTGTTGAAGTAGTTTCCAAATTACTTCCCGGTCAACGGTGTCTGTCGAATGCCTTTCCAAAGTCGACGATGCTGACGTAGAGGTTTGTCTGCATTCTCTGCCCTCCTCGATGATGATTCGTAGAGTTGAGATTTGATCAGCACATGATTTGCCTTTCCTAAATCCAGCTTGTTCCGTTTGGGCTGCTGAAGCTCTGCATCCAGTGCATCTTTCAGTCTCTTCAGAGTGACGTGACTTAATATTTCACTTGGTGTTGTTGCAGACGCCTAATTCGTCCTTCTTTGGTAGTTTGGCGAGGTAGGCTTTGTTCCAATCAGTAGGCACCCTTCACTCCTTCCAAACCTTTTGCATTAGAAGCGTGAGTCCATCCATATATATATATATATATATATATATATATATATATATATATATATATGGATGAAAAAGTTGTCAGAAAACCGAAGGCAATGGAGGTGCGCAGCTGAAGCCCTATGTTCCTCTAGGAACTAAAGGATACAATAATATATATATATATATATATATATATATATATATATATATATATATATATATATATGGTGAGAGCAGGCCGCTAGCCAATTGGTAGACATAAATCTACGTCAGTGTCTAGGTCATTAATATTGGCCGTGAGAAAATATGAACAAGGCTGATTCAACAACCAATCACAGCAAACTTAACGTGGGCAAATATGATTCGCAGATAGATGGCTCCACTTCTCGATGGTTACCCGAAACAACCAATCAGAAGCCTGCGTTTGTCTACTTGAATAAACTATAATAATGTATGTGAAATACATATAAATACGTGTTGATTTCCGTAATAAAACAATCTGTTATATATATATATATATATATATATATATATATATATATATATATATATATGGATATGTGGATCCGTCCTCAGTGTTTCAGGAGGAATTCCGTCCGCTCTTAATTACTTCCTGGCCTTCAGTGGCTTGATTGCATTCAAGACTTATGCTTTTCTTGTGGGATTGGTGTTTGCTGGCAGTTCTGTGGCTGTTGTTGGTGGCATTTTTGGCCGGGTTGCAGATGATGATCAATTAAAGAGTCTTTCGATATGATCAGTCCATTGTTTTCTTGGTTTGTCCACTTTAGCAATTATATCCCCTTGACCATCTTTTGCCGGTCTCATCTGCGATGTTGTCTCCCCGAGTAGAGACCTGGTTATCTGAAAAAAATGTTCTGTAGTTTCTTTTTCATCTTGCCTGTTCTGCAGTGTACATTGAACTTAGCTTCTCCTTCTTCTCACCATCTTTGTATTGGTTCATCATGCTTCACAATCCTCATCTTCTATGCTGTCCTTCACTTGTTCATAGAGTTATTCCTTGTCTTGCGTCTTCTTTCCTCCTAGAGCGGCTGTACACGTTTACTTGAACATCACTTTCAGAGTGTTCTGTTATTCTTCTACACATGTTTCCTCAGTGATGCTACGTAGTGTCTCAGGCTTTGCTCTGGTAGCTGCTGCAGTGATGGTGTCTTTTGTAGTTTCGTTTTTCAGTTTCTGAGTATTGAACTTGAATTTTGGTCTATCTTCAGTTGTTTTGAAGGCCTTCAGTTTAGCATAGAAGGCTCCTTGAACTAGATACTGGTTTGAGTCCACGTCTGCTCACATTCTCGACTTCATGTCTAGCAGACTGCGTCTCCACTTTTCTTGGACAGTATTGAAATAAGGTCTGTCTGATTTTTGGTGTGTCCGTTAGGTGAAATATGCATGTCTCTTTGTGTATATCCTTGCAATTGTACACACCACCTCTGATCACCAAATCATTGAATGCAGAGAAGTCTGCGACCAAATCTTGAATGATCATTTCAGTCCTACATATCAAAAACAGTAAGAATAAAAATATTTCACTAACAAGACAAATCAATTGAAAATGTTAGAAATGAGACTAGGTCAAATGAAAAGGTTAACTTAGAGATGAAATAGCAGTGAGGATTAGTCGAGGGTGGAAACAGAATTTATCCTGTGAATATTAAAAAACTATTTTAATCTCTTATTAACTAATGTTTCAGCGATACTCCACTTTGATATAGTGGTGAATTCTGGTGTGTCTGTTCGCAGCACTGATTGATCAAATCAAGTTAACTGGTTTTCTGAAGCCACTAAGGAATATGATGTGTAGCTTGGCTGTTTATTGGTGGAAATAATGACTGTGTAATCTGGTCTTCCACTTTTATATGGACTTCAAAGTTTCAGTCTTATGAAAGTTAAGTGTATATGCTTTGTCGACATTACTTACTCGACATTAATTACCGATTGTTGGTTTGCAGTAATTTGATTGCTTACAAGTTGATATCAATTAGAGAGTCATTAGAAAACGAGGGAGTACTGGACAGATGTTCCGCTTTAGTTCGTCTTCTTCTCACCCATTAGAGTTCTGATTCAAGATGTTCCGATTACAAGGCGAGTTCTTGAATCTACAGAATTTGGGCAGTAATGAGTCATTAGGTCGGGTCCAAGTGACTGAATGCTTCACGAATTCATCTTGTCACTGGGAAGTTGTGGATTTGACCATAAGAAGTGCACACTTTTTGTTTAATGTGTCTTTATTTTGTCAGAGATGATAACTGCTTATCTATTTTCAGGTACCATTGAATGAAATGTTTGGTTTTGCTGGTGAATTACGCAGTCTAACCGAAGGGAAAGGTGAATTTTCTATGGAATATCTAAAGTATTGTCCAGCACGACAAGCCACTACAGACACACTAATTCAAGAGTATGAAGCAGCTGTAGAGGCGAAATTGATTGCCAGTGGTAAAGTCAGTACTAAGAAGAAAAAGAAAACCTAATTTTAGCCTTTCTTGTAGAAAAATGTAACTACTGTGAGTTTATATAGCTATAGCTATAGATTCTTGGTTATTATTTGTAAAATTTGTATTCAATTGCATTGACTACGACTCAGTCATCATCACGTGGACACACAGTATTTTTCACTCATGTACAACAGGCTATGAGACACAACTATTTGTATATTGGTTGATGATAATATACAGTTGCGCCAAAAGATTGAATTGGGTGAAGCAGGATTCGAATAGGTTACATTGCACTAATCAAGGCACTCTATTCAAACTCACGTAGCCGTGTAAGGGCTTATGGGGAATTGTCATCTGAATTGATACCAACCAGTGGTGTCCGACAGGGATGTCCATTTTCCCCATTCCTGTTTAACTTCATCATAGATATGCTAATGGAAGTATCCTTAAATGAACTTAATGACTTAGGAATCGACTTGTTACCAGGAAATAGTCTTATGGACGTAGAATATGCAGATGACATAGTCCTGTTAGGGGAGGATGCTGACAAAATGCAGAGTCTTCTGAACACCTTGAGCAGCAATCTTCATATGTTTGCCCCTGCAAAATGTGAGATGCTACTACAAGACTGGACCACGTCAACTCTCAACTTAGTGATAGGGAGTGAAGTGATAGAATATGTTGACCACTTCACCTATTTGGGAAGTTGTATTAGCACCAACGGACTGATTGGTGACGAAATCTCAATCTCAACACGGATCCAAAAGGCTCGAGCTGCTTTCGCTGATTTACGCCATCTCTGGCGTAGGCGTCACATCTGGCTATCAACCAAGGGACGTGTGTACTGCTCAGCAGTTCGCTCCATCCTTCTCTATGGCTCTGAAACATGGCCAATACGCGTTGAAGACATGAAAAGGTTGACTGCTTTCGATCATAGATGTCTGCGATCTCTGTCTCACGTTAGATGGTATAATAAGGTAAGTAATGTTTACGTTAGGCGTAGAGTGTTGGGCAAACAGGGAAAATCAATCGACGAGGCTATAAAGTTACATAGACTAAGATGGCTAGGTCACGTCACGTGGTGCGCATGCCTAACCACCGACTCCCCCGACGGGCATTGTTAGCTGATATAGGTGCAGGTTGGAAAAGAGCCAGTGGTGGCCAAACAAAAACTGGCATCAGTCCATGAAATCCTTGACAATTAAACTGAGTCAGGTAGGGAGATGCAGACTTCCGGGTTGGGGCCCTCGGGATTCTAGGAATCAATGGCTGGAGACAATAGGTGACATGGTTCAAAATCGTTGTCATTGGCGCAGATGTATTCAGTCTCTGTAATCTTTCATATTCCTTTCTACCATTATCCATTCTGTTTCACTCTTATACTTGTCAAACTCTACTGATTCTCTTCACTCATCTTTTTGTCTACCTTTGTGTGCTATTTGGAACGTGGCAACTCTAACTGGTGCACTTCGGTGCCAAGTTCTGTGTTGAATCCAGACAGACAGACAGGTTACTCCTTTGGTTAAAGGTAAGTGATGAGACTGATGAATGACATCATCGAATTTTCAGTAGAAATAAGTAATAATTAGTCAAGCGTAGTTAAAATCCTACGTTGAATAAAAGTGACATCTTGGAGGTAATGAATTGTGATTTCTTTTGTCACCTTGATTGGACACTGCAAAATTCCTGTGAAAAGACAAGAGATGCACACTGTAAGGAATTTATTAACACGAGAACGCAAATAATATAAATGATAAGGTAGGGTATGCAGACATTATTAGTCCACATGGCCTAAGTCCATGTTATACAACTATCCTCTTTTCTGTTCACTCTCATCATACAGGTATTAATGGAATTAACACTAATTGAAATGAACGACTTAAGGATTGGATTGTTACCTGGGAGAATAGTGTTATTGATTTTAGATATATACATGATATAGTCTTTCTAAAGATGAATACGGTGGTAAAATGAAAAGTTTCTCGAACACCTTGAGCAGCAATCCTCGAATGTTCAACATGTGATTCGCCACTGTAAAGGTACTATGATGCTGCAGGACTGATGTACACCTGTTTCTACTTTAAAGATAGTGAGTGAAGTGGTCAACCGTGTTGGGAAGTTACATCAGCCGTAACGATCTGATCACTGATGAAATCTCAGTACGAATACAGAAGTCTCGTGTGGAGTTTACGAACTAACTCCATCTGAGTCATAGATGTGATATCTGGCAATACCACTGATCATTTCACTCCGTCCTTCTCTATGAATGCGATACATAGTCGTTGAAAGTCGAAGGTATGAAAAGACTAGCTGTCTCCGATCATAGATGTCTACGTTCTGTCTCCCGTGTTAGGTGATATCACATGGTGAGTAATATTGCGGTCAGGCTTCGAGTATTAGGTAAGGAGGGCAACTGAATCGATGAGGTTGTACAGCTACATAGATTGAAATGGCTGGACATGTGTAGCACATGTGGTATCCATCGTCTTCTTCGACATGCATTGGTGGCTGACATAGGATCACGTTAGCAAAGACCTGGTGGCGGGCAAGCGAAAACATTGAATCAACCCACGAAATCTTTAAAAGTTAGTTTTAATTACGCACGGAGTGTAGTCCTCCTGGATGTGGTCCCTGAGATGGTGAAAAACAGTGGCTGGGGACAATCGGTGACATGTTTCAAAATCGTTCTCATTGTTGGCTCAAATGCATTCACTCCCTCTAACCTCCCATATCCACAAAAGCTTACTCTTCTTCCATGTCACTATTCTTTCTCCCTCACATATCTGCTTATTATCGTTCTTCTGAACCTCTATTTTTACCTCTTTTGTCTTCCTCTGGGTGCTACATCGAGTGTGGGAACTCGAGCTGCTGTACTTTTGTAGAAAGTGCTGTGTCGAGACCAGTCAGTTAGTCAGTCGTCTTACACCAGCGCTCTCAATTGTCAACCTTTTCACCATCCGTCTTTAACAGCGTATTGTCCAAATATTAGACCACTTGCTTACGAAACCCATACTAATACTTAGGTTTCAGCTGCATCTGGGTCCGGCCATCCTTCATAAAACAATAATAATAATAATAAAATGAAGTGATAAGAAAGGGGAAAGATGAATGCACGGAATAGTTGAAGCATAACTGCCTTACATTTTACATTGAATACTCTTTGTTTGTTTAACAAATTTTCGGGTCATCTGCGAAGATGACACCACAAACTGATGATTAATTATGTTCTGCTATTCTTTTAATCTTTTGTGTATACTATGACAGGATTTGTTGGTAACGAGAAGGATCGTTTGACGCGAGCTGGAGATGATCGGTATCAATCAATCCCGATGTGTATATACATATGTCTTTCGTATATGAGATAGAACAGTTTAGATCTTGTATATGTTATATTAACACCATTTGCTATGTCTCCTGTATTTCGCTAAAATATATTGATTTGACAATGCAAAACGGTACATATTCACTGCATATTTTAGATTGTTACAGCGGCAGAGAGAGAGAGAGATGATTGACATTAGACTCTTTTATGAAGCTTTCTTTGTACCGTTTATTCGTTTTCGCATATGCTTGGACGAGATAGCTACCTAACAGTGTGGAGGCTAGATAAGAACTGACTCCCAAATAATATCCTGGTAAGGCTGCAATATTAAGCGCCGTGTGTTGACTGAGGAAGATAAGTCAGGTTTTCAATATCTGTCGGTTGCAAGGACAGTTGTTCCCCGTGTTGAGTAGTGTCATCTGACCCAAGGGCGAAGTTGTGGGTGAAAAGGTCTAGGACAACCTGTTCATCCTACTCCAGGACTCTTCACAGCACACACCCACAGGGGTTCGAACCCAGGATCTTCCAGTTAAAAGGCGACCTCATGGACCATTCAGAATCTATCTAATGACCCATGAATTCCAACCTATGCCGATTCGCGATATATATATATATATATATTGCAGCCGGTGTCATCGGGAAGTAACTGTTCTCTTACTGATGTCTACTCGTGACCAAATGTGTAGCCAATAAAATCCCTGCAAACCACCAACACTTTGATCGGGAAAAGGACACTAAATCATTTAGCTGTTGATCTAAGTCACATGGAGTGGTGTGGACTTCTGGACTTTGCTTCATCCTTTCCTTTTACTGATACAAGTTCTAAATTATTCATTGTGGCCTAGGTGTATATGGCTCTTCTCATCTTTAAAGGCTAGAGAACTTTGATTTATCTTAGGATTGTGGTTTTCACAAAGTTTTATGAAAATTTTGTCAGCAACCAATAACACCTACAGAATCACTGGAAGTGAAGGGGCACTGGACAGATGTTCCATTCTAGTTCGGAACTCTTCAACACTAGGTACCAACTACCACACCAGGAATAGAACTCAGGACTTTGAGACTGCAGGGCATGCGTGTTGACCATTCTGCCGCTGCATCTGAATCCGATTAGCTGAGGACTCTAATTTCTGCCAGTTAATTCCTTATATGAACTTCGAAAGGCAAACAATAAGAGTTGTGTAATGTGTGCTGCATTCGTGCAACATATTTCAAACAGTTTGACCACTCACGTGCTTCTTATAGGAATTTATAGGAAGGTTAATCGGTGAGAAGATGAAAACAAACTTAATTTACTGACAAACAGTTTATGTACACATAGGGAGCCTTGTTCTTCATGATCGCTAAGTATCTGATACAATTTAGGATATGATCTCAGTCTCAAAAGATTTCGTGAATAAGGCCATCGAAGTTTTTCAATGTCCCGGGTGAAACATACGGCTTCAGTCTTGAGCTTTGGAGTTCCACTAGCAGTGATGTTTTTTTCCTATGAGGTGGGGCTGTCAGCCTCACTTCCATTTTAACCGGGCTTACTACCGGTTAAGTGAGATTTCGGAGTGTTTCGAAGTGACTAATTACCATTTCGTTTAGTCTTTGGAAAGCTTGTCTTCAACAAATGTACTTTTTTAAATCAAGCAACAAAGGCAGGATTAAGTGAATTCTTCAAATTTCGGTAAAAACTCTTCAGATGAATACTCATCATAAACAGAATGACTTAAATATATCAAAAATTGCGAACTGAGTAATATTAATAGTGATAGCAATAATAGTAATAATCTTGAAACGAGTTAAAATAGTGCTACTGATGATAAAAGATAGTTTTAAATGAATCAGGAATAATAATAATAAGTTAGAATGGAATGCTAATAATAATAATAGTTAATAAGTAGAACACATCACAATGGTAGATTCAGAGTGACGTCCGTTTCATTTTGTACAAAGAGACTCGGTTTATATCTCTTAATGTATTTCTGATAGTATAAATATATATCTCTGTATGTAGATTATTCAGCTGAAGAGTCGTACCGAAATTTGATGAATTCATTCAATCCTGTCTTACTTAAATTTGTTGCTTGTCTTAAATTCGTAAATTAGTAATTGAGTAGTCAAGAATTTCGAACATAATTTTCTGGTGGTTTCAAAATTCTTAGCACTAGGACTTCCTATTATTTCCACTGTACCTTTTTTACAAACGTCCAAATTATGTTCAGATTTTGAGTGTAGTAGTCAAAAGTGCATATAAGTTTCTTACTAGTCAATTGCTCCTTCCTTAACAGTTCTCTGCCTTTCTTATTAGACCGCCCCTCCCCCCAACCCGCACACCAGTGTGTCATATATCTTCGAGTAGCTTGAAAATCCCCATTGAGTCATATGAAAAAGAGAAGACGTTCATCGAAGAGACTCTTTTCACCGACGAATTCATTCACATAGCTGTACAATCGGATTTATATATAATTATTTGTGTGTGTGTGTGTGTGTGCACATGAGGTTTGTCAAGTTTAGATAATTGATCAGATAATAAAAGAATGATCTAATATAGAAAAAAGGTTAGTTGGAGTGCAACTAAAGTAAGATTGAGTTAGTAAGTTAGATGACGTAATATAATTGACTAAAATGTTTCAACTTGGGTCAGGGAAGCAACAGAGGTAATTATAGGTAGAGACTAAGTAGAAGTGGTAGTGAGGTGCAGAAATTCAATTGGATGGGGGTAGAGAATGTAAAATATTACAATTGAGAAGACAAAATAATACTAATGAAGAGACAGAAAAAAAAGAGATTAGGTAGAATTTACTTTCCAGGTAATAAGATAGATTAAGTCCATTGTAAGTGTAGTGATTGAACGAACTTCTTCTGTATGCAGAGTTCAGGACTTAGCAAGTGAATCGCCATTGCTTTTGCAGTTTGAAGAAGTCTGATTCATACATCTTTAGGAAGACTACTTCTTACTCTGTAGACTACTTTGAAGTTTGTTTGGGGTGCAGCTTGGTATCCGGATTCTATCAGATGTTCTAAGATGGAGCTGTGGGGACATCGTTTTACTCCTTTGTAAAACCATGTTGGTAAGTGTTCGGTGATACGCTTGGAAAGCGAACGCTGGGTACGGCCGACATACCTGGCTCCACACGAGCAGATGAATCGGTAGTATCTACTTTTGTAACACCTTCAAACATTTTAATTTTGGCTTTGCTACCGACATACTAATATGTTGTTGAGATAATCTTTAAAACTATGTAGAACTTTATTTATTGTTAATGTAAACAAAAAACTGGATGCAATATTGTAGTAAAATGCTGAGAATTCCATTCTGTATCACAAGTACTGATTTGGAATAAAGCTTATATAATAATAATAATAATAATAATAATAATAGATACACATTGATGAGGCCAGCAGTGGTAGCTTATCCTTCACGTTCACATGAATCATAGATTTTGTGGAGAAAGTTAATCATAGTTCAGCTGCGAAGAAGGTCTTCTTGAGTGAGCGCAACAGTCGATTTTTTAGTGTTTCCGCAGATATATCTCCATTGAATTGAAGGTTCATGTAGAGTGATTTCTTTGGGACGCTAAGCGTGGGTGGTTTTTGTGGTCTAGGATTCATAGAGTTTGCAATAAATCGTTCTGGGTAACAATTCTCGACGAGAATTCTCTTGAGATTGTCCAGTTCATCTTCTACGGTGTCCGGGGTACAAATTCTGCGAACTCTGTTGCTAAGTGAACGGATCAGGTTCCGTTTGGTGTATAGGGGTACCCAACTGTGGAAGTTAATAAGCTGTCCGTTCCATGTTGACTTTCTGTAGATAGATCTTTTCAGTGTTCCATCCTGTTCTCGTCCTGCTAGTTGGACGTCAAGAAGGGATATTTTGGAGTTGGACTCTTTCTCCAGCGTGAACTGAATCGCGGGGTGGCAGTTGTTAAACGACTTCAGGATGTCGTCTAGATTTTCTTCATTGTTGACGGTAATGAAAGTGTCGTCGGCGTATCTCTTGTAGATTCCAAAGGTATCGATCAATTTCTTCATGCATGTGTTTTCGAGTTTTGCCATGAAGAAATCTGCAAGCAATGGGCCTAGTGGTGAGCCCATAGACTCTTATTCGAAGTCTTTCACGACACACTGACACATGTCCTCGATACAATATTCTTTTGTCAGTTCTCATTTCAGTCGTCTTTCACCTGTAAATCAAAGGAGTTAAAAATCTTCATTTACAATATAAATATACAAGCAAATAGTGATTGTAAACAGTTCAATTATAATTGCGAATTTAGAAATTGTAGAAATTTTCATGGTGACCAAGTGTAGATAGAGTTCAGTGACTCTGACTGGACACAGTGAAATAGATTAACTGGAAAGAGAAACAAGTTCTGTATATTTTACGCCCCAAACATATTTCTGACCGAAATTTATCCGGCGAAATACTGGGAAAGTTATACATATGTGATCACTGAGAATTAAAAAAAAAAAACTCACGTCAGATTGATTTAAGCGTTGCGGGTATCGTCCAGAACGATAATGAGAGCTTCACTATTGAACTACCCGACTGAAAGAACCCAACAACAAAATAATTATGGATACACCAGCTATGTTCTCAGGGGAAATCATCTTCAGGTTTCCGACTTTCTAACATATTATAATGAGTTTCAATCATCTTCTTGGTCAGTTCTATCGCAATGCACCGTGGAAATCCCTTGAAAGTTATTTCATCAATACCAGGCTTCTTCTTTTTCTCTAAATCCGAATTTTTTTTTTTCGAAGACAGTTGATTTTGCTCAAGTAGGCTTCATTAATCTAGGGTGTGTATGGCATCCAGAAACGAGACTGTGTCTTCGCTTTTCCCTTCAATTTGTAGTTTTATTTAATTATTTCTCTTATCTGTTATAAGCACAGAATTCCTGATCGACACTTGAACAATGTTTCACTTCACCTACGTTTCTTACGTATAGCATCATAATTTCATTGAAATAATTCTACCTTT